CCATGCATTGCTTGTAACAGCTGACGGTAAGCGTTCTTTTATGCGTGGTTTTTTTTTATTTCAGGTTCTGGCCAATACAAGGCACGTTTGAATGGAGATGGAATAATGAAGTTCTTTTGAAAGGTTGATGTTGATGGGTTAATAGGTGCTTAAACATTTTTAGCGGGTGTGAAATAGTCTGCTGAGATGGGATTATTTGCGATATGAGAAGTTGAGTTAGTTTTACTCGGTGTCATGTGAGCTGGCTGCTGGGTTATAGCGTCGGATGATCTGTTAGTGCTCAAGTTTTGTTGGCTTGGTTGAAAAACATTTTGTTGTGGAAGTTCGTGCGGTATTTCAAGTTCTAGTGGTAATTTTTCTCGAGGGTCGAGGTCCTCGACAATAACCTATTTTGTTTCATTAGTGCCTTCTGATCGTGGACTTGTAATTGACTGTTCTATTTGCGAATTGTAATTTTGAATCAAATCTTTTTTATCTGTTAGCTTTACAACTTGTGGGAGTTCATGCGGTGTTTCATGTTCTTGAGGGGTAGATTCTTCATCACAAACCTGTCTTGGTTCATTAGTAGCTTCTGATTCTGGATATGAAATTGACTTTTCAATTTGTGTATTGGAATTCGATATAATATTTCTTTTATCTATACGTGTTCCAACTGATGAATTGTCTAAAAGTGTGTTTTTATTTTTTGACCATAAAACGTACAATGATAAATCTTTATTAGGCAGTAGATTTTCGACATCAGTCTTTTGCGACCAGTACATTTGGTTAAATAATATCAATTTATCTTTCGAAAATATGTTTATGATTTCTGATTCCAAAGTTTTTACGGAATTTGCCTGTTCTGTTACGCTATTATTTTTAGGTGGAATACGGTTTTCAGCACTAATTTTGGACATGTCGACATACTCAGGGCCAAAAGGAAAAATACCGCTTTTGCGGAATCCATTTCTAATTGTATTTGGAGACAATTTTTCTATAGCTACTTGCAAATTAGGAGCGAAATTAGCTTTTTTAAGATGATGTCCTGAGTTTTCGGTCTTCCACATGGCTACTTGATTCTTCTACTTAGTTCTGTCAAATTGTCAAGCACAATTACGAAAGAGCACCTTGATAATTATATTGTTATTCTAATCGCATTGTAAATCTATAATAAAACATTTCTACAATAAAGCGTACGAATAAAAAAAATATTCATATAGTTTGATAGTTGCCAGTAATGGACACCCAATTAGCAACACCATCACCAGTTATGATCACCCAATCATGAACATGCCATTTTTTAAATTCAATAATCATCACTGTGTTACGTAAAATAACAATAGTTAGGCTTTTTTATGAACATTATCAAACATTACTTAAATATTTAGTAATAATAAATTAAAAATTTCCCAAATTGTTCATGACTGGTAAGTAACACTTTTATTTATCCAATGATGAACATTGTTGTATTTGTAAATTACTATAACCATTTTGTAATATATCAAGCTGTAGGCTATTCTTAAATATACTATTAAATCACAAAATAATGACTCATTCAACATAATAACTGTACCGGCTTTAACATTAATTAATTTTTAAACTTACCTGCGCCACGATGCTTACTAAAAGATCGGATATTTTTTGAAATCGTCTGAACCACGTATTCGTATTCAGTTTATTTTGTTAATATGGCCGACAGCTGTCAAAAAAAAAATTCTAGGCTCCGGATTGGATAAGCACATTCATATAGTGTTACCATTGAAAAAAAAAATAGTCGGATTTTGTAGTTATTGGCGATTTAATGGTAATATGTTCATGATTGGTGCACTGTCCATGACCGGGTCGATTACCTTAATGTGATCCAGACAAGAACCGCTATGATTGGTAGGAAAAAAATTGCGCGTGGAGTATGCCATGAAAGGAGCATAGATTGAAGTAGTCCGAGGCAGCGGAATCGTTAAGCTCTTGTCGGATATTAATGTTTATGTCACCAATATTATATTTTTAAATTTTGATAATTGTTGTAACGTATCATTAGTGAGTTTAAAAATATTAGTATTTTTAAAAGAAGGAGATCTATATTAGTATAGCAATATCTGATTGAACTTTAATTAATAAACGTTCACAGTCCAGAATGCTCGGCTCGTCAACGGAGATATTTAGGCTGTTTAACATTAATGATAACCTCGCTATTTTGGTTGTAGTTTCCTTCTTCTTTTTAACTTTAATGGCACTTTGAGTCGCTACAATACTGCCAACTTCACGTAGGAGACCATTACACGATATAAATACATTTATTCAACCAAACAATTTTGAATTACCAATTCTATATTTCTACGATTTACCAAAAACAATACGTTATACGTTAAACGATCGTTTATATAAAATAATTCCTTAAATACAATAGTTAATCATAATCATTTTGAGTCTTACCACAGACTATTATTAAATTAACTGCTACTCTATATGGTGTAGCCTGATATAGTTTGTAAATTATTATATTTAGTTAACCAACACTGTCAAAGTTAATACCAATTCTCTGTCGAAAAGTACTAAAATTGTCGAAATTCTTATAAATACTACGTATATTTTGTGTTAGTGAGTAAGCTGATTAGCATAAGAAGATAAATATTGATTGCACTCTTCACCCTCGCACACCTTTGCCTCAGATACGGAAAAAAAATCTAAATATATATATATATATATATATATATATATATATTTAGATTTTTTTTCCGTATCTGAGGCAAAGGTATATATATATATATATATATATATATATATATATATATATATATATATATATATATATATATATATATATATATTGATAAATAATAATAAATGTATGTCACTCAAATACTATTTTATATTTTTTAAATATTACAATTTGGTTCTAGATGATTGGTTAGTTCTAGGTTCTAGATAAGGAGTTGACTAGATGTTCTGGAAGATTGGTGAGTGGAATATTCTTGCTATCTGCGTCGTCGCTTGTCCTTTTTAGCCGATTGCGCGACGCAAAGGAGGGTAATGTGTTTATCAGTCCATGTATGTATGTTTGTTTCTATGTGGCGTTCTAGAGACCAAATGCGTAGGCCGATTTTAATGATTCTTACGTCAATAGATTCGTCTTAACCTTGTGAGAGTCACTAAAGACATGACAGTAATCAAAATTCACCACAGCGACAACCAGAAGCCATGTTGTCAAAATGAAAAAATAAAAATCGATGAACTATGTCAAGTAGGGTGGCGTTGAATAGGTATTTTAAAATCATATTTAGGTTCCTTTTATCATTTTACATTTTAAATAATAGTTTAGGATATATAACGATTTAAAGTTGTTTAACAAAACAATCATTCTCGATATTTTCGAGTAAAAAAAAAGTTTACCACCAAGCTCGATTGATAACTAAAAAGTATAAAATAAAAATAAATAATTTAAAGAAAAACGAATGACCCGACTGTGTAAAAACGAATTTTAAAAATACATGAAAAACTAACTCATATAGTATTTTTTTAAATTCGTTTTTACGCAATCGGGTTTTTTATTTTTCTTTAAATTATTAATTTTTAGCTGAAATACAATCATCTTAATATTTAGGTGATATATGGTGAAAAACGTAGTTTTTGTTATAAAAGTTGAAATACGAAGGTGGTTTTAAAAGTTCTCGGCCTGACCGAGATTTGAGGGTAGGATGTAAACTAATTTATTGTCATTCGACAGCACGATTCTTTATTTAATTGTATGTCAAGTTCCCATTGTATTGAGACAAGGGGAGAATATGTAGAAACATAAAACATGTTTTCATTTTTATTTTCTTTGTTGTCTTGGTCGGGCCAAGAACTTTTCAAACCACCCTCGTTCAATATATATCATCTAAATATTTAGGTGATATATGGAGAAAAACATATTTTGTTTTCTTATAAAAAGAAAACTACTTATCCAATTTGAATAAAATCTAAATGTTTGTTAAACATTTATAAATTAAAATGATTCATATTTTTCGAAGATATAACGAAAACCTGTATTTTCACTTGTAGGATTGCCTATTATTGGTAAACATTCAAACATATAACATCTTTTGATTTCGAAGTCGGTTAAAAAGTAGCTTATATTATAATCCGTATACCACATTTTATCAAAATCATTCAGTAGTTTTTTACGTGAAAGAGTAGGAAACATACAAAATTTCGCATTTATAATTAATATTGCAGTGTTCGATGAAACTATAATAAGCAGGCTAAAAATAAAACAGTTGATAGAAATCATTTCATTTATTTATGAATCATGTAAATCGCAGTCCATTTACTTGTATCTATCACACACACAACGCTTAATGCAAAATTAAAATGCATTAATTACGCCACGTTTCTCCAATAGGCGCTAACACTGAACGAATATACACCCGTATATTTGTAACAATTTGTTCCAATACAATAAGATCCACTATTTGAAACCCGATACTACATAGACAAACCAATATCAATTATTAAATGGTGAGTTCCAAATAGATCGCCAGTGTGAGTTTACAAGTCATGCCTTCCTTACACGCGAGCCAAATATGATTTCAGCTTTACACAAAAGAAAAATGCAATAGTAGCATGACCATCTCTCTGCGTACTTACGGAAACAAATGCAACAAAATTTTATGCTATTATCATATAAATAATATAATAATAATTATTATTATTATGTAGTTTGAAATCAGAATTGACATTTCAACTATTATTAAATTTATTAAATATAGTTATTTATGAAAATACGGGGAGTATTAACCTGATGAAAGAATCGAAATCAGAAAGAACAAAATGGACAACTAGTCTTAATATTTATAACTTAGAAAATCTATAATTTAATCAAGTGCACTCCCCTTCCAACCAAAATCTAATATTTGTTCCTAGTCAACAAAAGCTAATACGATTTACCAACTTAGGTCTTAGAGATTATACATAAGAAGGGACACAGTTTCAATTTAATAGAAATAGTTTTTAGTTTATTGCTTATACAATTTTTTTTTTTTAGATATTAGTTTATTTATATCAATGATTCCAATCCTTTTCACGATTGTAACCCCTATGACATATTACGAAAACTGATTTTAATAATTAGAAAGATAACACAAAACATTTTATATAAATCGTTAAGTAAATATTTTATAAAAATGGCGAATGGCGATAGTCAATCATCGACACAAACCAAACAATTGAAATGTCAACCCAACACACAATTAAAATCAATGGCTTAAAATTTACGAAAATCAATTATAACTCAACACAACCGGCTCACGATATGAATACTCTTAAATAATTAAAACAATTCGCAACACACTTCAATTTTGTTCATTTGCTTAATTTTAACCGCAATAGCTCTTTGGCAATGAGGTCTTCAATTTCAATTAACTTCAATTCAAATGCTATGAGGTGAAAGGGGATGATAAAACTGGTAAATTATTAAAAATGTACACAATCCTCAATTGATTTTGAACTTTACTTACAATCTCTTAAAGCTTAAAATCAAGTGAAGAAATTTGACCGATTTTTATAACCTGACGTGCTGCGACTGTACTTCTTGTAAATTCAAAACTTTTTTCTTAGAAAATCCAGTGAATTGCCATTTTAAATTATTATTTATTAGTAGACTTTGACGTTGAAAATCCGTAGACAAAAGTACTTAGTCACTTTTTGACACGAAATGAGATTGAAACAAATAAGGAAAAGCATGCAAGTCGAGGATCGTGTCTTGTTTGACCCTCGTCTGAAGACAGCCTAAAGCATACTTGTTTCTTTGTATATAACTAACTTCATAGCACTAGCGGCACCTGGTTTTGGATCGGCTAGCTACCAAGTTATGATTCAACAATGTCAAAATGGACAAAGTATTACACACAACAGTGACTTATTGCATCTTTCATTATGAGTAAACGTCATACTTATTTATACTCATTGCGTTGAAACTTTATATAAGAAGAAAAAAGTAGTTAACAATTCTTTGTTAAACTAGTTCATATCATATAAGTATAATATAATTACAGACAATATTAGCTGTAAAAACACAATAGAATTATATTACATCAGTTGATATATTTTCATACAGAACCTCGACTCCACCAGACTATATTTTAACTGAACTATCTATAGTAAGAAAATAAGGTCCAATTACTCGTTTTACTTTTATCTTCTTCAAGGCACGTTCTCGCATAAAAGAGAGACTCGTACATCGATAAAAAATTACATTACAAAAAACAAAGCATTAATCAGTACTCCACAGTAAAACGCAACCCAATTCATACATAATTATTACAACAATTTACTTCTGAAACCATTAAAAAAATAATGGCTGTTTCGATATTCACACAGTAATATTATACCGATTACATAGTGGACCAAACAATAGAACAGAATAATAATCACTTCTACAACCTACCACAGACGCGCACACATACACCGCAGCATCGACTTAAATGCATCCGTTTCAGTCACACTTATTGCCTCCTCTCTTACTCCTTACGCGGCTTCCGTTTCTTCTGCCCGTCGCCTGCTCCTTCTGTATCGACTAGAGGCGCCGTCTAAATAATAATACCATTTCTTGTATTGTACGACAGTATGGATGACACATACATAGAAATTAACTTTTTCGTTCTCGTTAAATATTGAACTGCCATATTTGAATAAACTAAACGTTATTTTTATTTATTTACACTCACAATTTCAGCCACTAACTTAAGACCTTTGCAGCCAACATATAATGTTTAAATCTTGTACTATCTGCTCATTAGATAATTATAAAACTAATATATATTTTTGCGAAAAAAGAAGTTTTTTATAAAAGATGAACTTAAATATTTTTCATTTTTAAAATTTGGCGCTAACTATGATGCTGTCACTACGATTGTGCGTAACGTCAATTATCAGAAGGGTTGCCAGACCAGACAAATAAAATTACCGAACATGACCTGTCAAAGTTAACACAATAAATGGCACAGTAAATATTAATAAGTCTACTAATTATTGTTAACAACAGTTTTCAGAATGTTTTCCCTGTTCCAACAATGAATTCGTTCATTTCATTGTTCATATACATTTTGTATCCAGTTATTTGTATAACTGAAATACATAATGTGTATAATATGACAAAATGGTTCTAGCGATCTTGAAAATAACAGCAATTCATGACATCATCCAATAACATCCCATATTTTTTATATTATAAAGTCCTTTTACTTTAAGACAAACATCACTAAATTAGTTAATAGTGGTCAAAGAACTTATCGTAGATTTTTATAGAGAATGCATGCGTTCAGATCCGCAATGCATGCGGTCAGACTGTATCGAACGCTAGGGTTAAAGACCTTTATCTATTATACGTTACCTCTTCAGTAGTGCTCTGGTCAGGTTCCTGATCGGGTTCCTGTTCAGGCTCCTGCTCGGGATCCTGCTCGGGTTCTTCAGGTTCTCCGTCGGAATGAGGATCGTCTTCCGTCACTGCATCAGTCTTTTTGGCCAGCACCTCCGGCTCCTAGACCATTATTTTCGATAAATGACATGTAATACTTTAAATTTAACACCATAAAGGTAAGGTCCCCATTCATTAAGAATATCAACTTGCTTTTTATAAAAAATATTTTTCATTTTCTCCCAATTAAAATCAAATATAATGACTCTATGTATATCTTCATCTATCAAGTAGTTTCAGAGCGAACTCCGCGAGAAATAGACTGACGAACAGACTAATTCGTTTTGACATATACCTGAAAAAAATAAAAAAAATCTCAAACAAAAAAGGCAGTGTTTACACATCAGTTATACTAGACTCACAGATTTCGATGCGCAGCAAAGATAGGCGATGAAACCAACAAACAGGAATGCCCCCAAAATGACCACCGCATACACCCACGGGTTCTCGCCCGCATATTTCAAAGCACGCTCCACCACAGAGTCCTGGAAATAGCACTACTGCTGGCTACTACCACTCGCTTACTACAACTACTCATATAAGAACAGACACATATAAATATGAGGCTCTTATTGTTCAAAGAATATTATTTGTAGCCATACCTAGCAACACATATAGTGTTATATAGCTCTAGTAATGTTAACGTAAACGTTACGTAATTGTCGATTACATGTGTAATGTAACGGGTAAACGTGTGAACACTCAAAACTCGATTCGAATAATTGCAAAGTGTAATGATAAGGCTCTAGTTGTACGCAATAAAGCGTAAATTCATTATAGCTGTGTATGTCTACATTTGACACAAGTCTATCGGTTTGTTTACGATACGAATATACGACCTCCCTGGCGCGTCGTAGAAGATAAACGATATACGCTGATACTGGAACGGCGCAGTACGCCGCGTACGCCGCCCAGTAACCGGGCTTGTAGTCAGTAGCGCGCAGTATCCGTCCCCATACAGTTTGCTTTAAATGTGCATTATACGTAGAGCCCGTTATCGGAGTTGCAATTTGGTAAGTAGATGTTTTAAAGGGATGAGTAAGAATAAATGAAACACGTATATAGAACTATTATTATTGATAATAGTTATATATTTTTACCCATCTCTAAAATCATCCTAAAACTACCAAATTGATAATGGGGAGTAATAGGGATGATGGCTATTTTATTAAACAACTATTTTTATTTTTTTGCGTATTCATTAAATTACGACAATATATATTGAATTGAAATGTCGTAGACGTCAAGTTTTTGTACATTTTCTACAAAACTGTGACGTACCAAGCCCCCACTATTCAACTTTAATGCTTATAATCTAAGCCATTTCTTGTTATATCGTAAAAAATATGTAGTTAATATTTTACTAATTTCATTTTTTATAACCGTCATCATGTCTATTGTATGTATAATTGTGTTTGTATGTGCATCATCTTCAGTCTAATACAACTTCCCCTGTGGAAGCTGGGCACGTTTCTTCCCCATGGAAAGATACACTTGGGATGGGCAATAACCCACCATTCGATCCTAGTGAGGTTTGGTGTGTGCTATATAGACAACCGAGACCGACAGATAAAAAATGTTGTCTGAAGCATTGAAAATATTAGTTAATACATTTTTGGTCACTCATGAGATGACCTGAATAGGGAATATGCGTCTGATTCAAGGAAGGGTTTAATATATTTTATTGCTAATATTATTGCTCTAGAATTACCTATACCTTGTAAACATTTTTTGATATTATTTCTTTTTCGTCCGGACAATAATTATTAAAAAGTGCAAAAAATTGCGGTATGTTCAAAATACTCAAACGTAATGCCATTGACGCTATGGATGTGAGGAAAATGTACACGTATAGGGATGTCGCGGTTACATAAAGTTAACATCGATGCAAAAAGCATCTATGTATTGTCGTAAAATAAACAACAGATTATAACATAAATAATATTTAGGACTTTTATTTATATTTCACTTATTTGGTTGATTATCAAAAAAGTAGATTATATTAAAAATAGCGTAAAAAAGTAATTGACTAATAAATCCATATTGATTTAAAATGTCTCTGGTCGCTTACATTGACGACATGACAAGCGCGCAAAAAAACGCATCGATATCATTCACTTGAAAATTAAATAAATACCGCCCTAAATTATACCAATATTTTTATATGTTCCATCTTAGTACACGGTGATAAATGAAGTTAATTCATTTTAAATTTGCGTGTGTAACTTTCTGTTAAATAGAGCTATAAATTTCAGCTTTGCTCCACCCGAAGTTTTAACGGACCGTCAAGTCCAAACCGGTAAACAGTTTAACCGACATTAAAATCATAATTCGCGAGAAGACAGATATGAGATAGAGGCATTAACAAATCATTATTTATGCATCTTTATTCGATTTTGACTCGAGGTTTATAGCGATAACTGTTTAACAAGTCACAGTTTCGACCAGTATTTGGACTTAATTGGTTGCTATATATCTATAATATATAAAGATTAATTTTATAATAAACGTGCTGGCTGTCTCTCTCTCTCTCTCGCTCTCTCTCTCACTTACCGAGTCCTTGGCAATCTTGGCTCGCTTCAGATGGAAGGTTTGTCGCGCCCACGTGGCCGCAACGTCGATGTCATCAGTCACTAGTAAGTTGTCAAACAACAATCGTGGCGACATCGACCACAACTCGAAACCCACTGCGTGCTACGATAAAGATGCATTTTCATTACTCATACGGGTCACTCGTAATTTCTTTAACAAATGCCGTACCGGCCCGCAATCTAGGACTAGTTTTTATTAGTCGCTTTGACGAATCCTTGTATACAGCTCGGTCATCGATCAACTTAAGAGTCAATAAAAATGAGAATTCTATTACTTATTATTGTACACTTATAATAGCGTACACGATAATAATAATCTACATTGCGATTTATTTAAGAGTTCTTTTTTCATAAACACATCAATTTATCCAGAATTATTTAAAAATGGATATCAAAATAAGTCCACTACCAGAGAAAGTGATAAAAGATTAATATAATATACCCGGTGGCTCAATTTAAAAGACGTTAAGCAGGGTTACGGGGGAGGGAGAGAACAAGTGGGGGGACTCGCCTTACACACAAATGTCAGGGGGGGTGTCAAAATCATCAGTATATAATACCTACTTACAGTTAAAAAAACTACAAATCAAAATCCGGTCTTATGGAGCGTAGTGGGGGGAGGGTAGAGGAAGAAAAGCGAAAGTTATGGAGACCACCCGGGGCAGAAACTTGATATTGCGCTCCCGCATTTTTAACTTTATTATATTAAAAATTTACTATAATAATACTTACTACGGGTGTCATGCGGAAAGGCTCGTTGTCCCGGAAGTAGTGCGGGTTGGGGATACGACGCGGCGACCACTTGCCCTTGTACTCCGGATTCGGAATCAACGGTGCACGCCACTTGCCCTGCACGGTATATATTAAAACATTACATGATGAAAAACATAATATTTATTACTTAGAACTCAAGTGCTGTTCATAACTTAGTCTACTGTGTAGATTTATAGAATCGTTATATCCAAAGAACCTATTATAATTATAACAAATAGCGTATCTAATCTTCCAGGCTTTGAAGTACTTGTGTACATTGTATTAATTGGTGATAATGAAAATAAAGCACTTCTGTAACGTATTTTTTAAGAGTTCTCTTAAGTCGTTAATAGTAGCTGTAATATGGTGTATGAGATATCCAAATAAAAGAAAATTATAATATTCATTAAATTTACGTGTATGCGTCGTGTTTGTGTGTGTGCGTAAGTGTGTGTGCGCGCGTATGTGCATTATTGGTCTTGTGTAGTTCGCGAACTCCCACTGACGAACTATACGAACTAGTTCCCACATTATTCATTTCGTAGTACGCTATTTCGTGACAGAATGAGTAAAGGTCAAGTCGACCAAACTAAAGTCATCTCGTTAAAAATATGAAGGCGAAAAATATTAAGTATATTATTCACGGTCTAAACAATAAACCAAGTTATTTACATTAAATATATATACATATATATATATATATATATATATATATATCCGTCATATATCATCACACCGTCATATATATATATATATATCATGAATATTAGTTCATATATGTATTTATTTTATTTTTGTGTCAAACATTTTGAAGTTAATTTACAATCTAGTAGCAGCAGGAGCAGTATCAAAACGAGCGAACAAACTGCTTTAAAATAATTAAATGTACGGCAGATCGTTCGCTTGTATTAAAACAAGTCCTGCTGCAAAGAGCGATAAGCTAGGAATAGGGAAGTTTGGGTAGTGAAAAATAAGTCACGAATTGCACAAAAACTAAAATAGAGATTCTGATCGATAATAATATAATCTTCGATAATGAGATAATATAATCGTGCGATTTTGAGTCTTAAAATTGCAGGATTATATTAGTCACCTGACTTGAAATATATGATACCCTCATAATAAAACAAAAACAGCTGTTATGATTTAAGGTTTGATCTCTATACTGAAAGTTGGTATTAGTATTAGGCTCAATTCCTAGATAGCGCTGATCTTAGCTTATTAGATGGCATTGTTCTTTTTTTATTGACATCTTTTTATCTTCTACTCTATACATCTGTTTTGTGTACATATCACAGTGACGTCGTGAATTGAATAGTGAATAAACAGCGTTTTCGCTGGTATAAAATAGTTTAAATTTTGATTTAATTTTAGGGCAAGCAAACATGTTTATTTTACCGAAATATTTGTTTTATATGGATATATATGGCTTTTTTAAATTAAAATTAACAGTTAGAAGTATTATTTCAAACTGAGTAAAATACACGAATCACGAACTAATGAACTAAAAGAATGAACTAGTTCGTTTATAAGCCGCAAACTAACTCATTCCATCTCAGTTGCGAACTATAACGCCCAAGACTAATATACATCTTTGTGTGTGTGTGTGTGTGTGTGTGTGTGTGTGTGTGTGTGTGTATGCGTGTGTGCACGTGCGTGTGCGTGTGTGATCCACCTTGTAGTTGGGGTTGGGCAGCACGGGCGGCGTCCATGTACCGCAGCCAGGAGCGCTAGCACAACGCGGGTTATCTATAAGAGGCGGTTCCCATTCACCGTCCATCTCCTCGTCCCAGTCAGACGGCTTCCGCGCCTCCGGATCTAACACAGAACCGTACACATGCTACAATATACTTACATTTATTATAACTGAAAGAAATATTATACTTTCCCAATAACATATAATAATCTCCATTGCTATTGCTATTTGATATTTATGTAGCTAAGAAATTGCATACCAGTTTCAGAGTACTTTTTTCATAAACACATCAAACTTACATAGTATGACTTAAACATAGATTACATATTAAGTGCACTATCAGAGAGTGATAAAGAATAATATAAATATATCCGGCGTCCCAATAGGGGTGCAGACAACTTATTTCTTATATTATTATACATGACATATATCTAAAAAAATATTGAAAAAAGTATCCAAACGACACGGCCCTCTGAAACTAACATCATGCTATGCATAAGGTTGAATTCTCTAAATATTATAAATATCATAAGCATAAAAGTGTGATTATCGGTAATAGTATATTACCAGAAAATAAAAATAAGTATTTATTTTCGTTTACTGTCTACACCCGTATTGAAAAACGAGTAACTCTAACATTGAAAATCACTGAACTTAACTCCATCTGTATTTACCAAAGACATGTATTCTACAATAATATTATTATAGGATATCTGATACATACTACAATACTTTACTATAACCGAAAAGATAAACAAAAGCTATAGAGTTAAGGCTTAAGGCTTTTTTATTATATCATGGATGAATAATACAACTCAATTATTATAGTATTATATGGCAAAAAGACTGGCCTTTATTTAAGAAACTTTATACAAGTTTCTTTTGGCTTTTAATTCACGAAAACAAAATAACGACAATAAAGGTACAATTGAAATTTGTTTTCTAGAACAAGGCATAGCTTAACTAGAAATCAGTTAATATTAAGAGTAGCATAAACAGATAGGCAATGTTTGTCTATGATTTTGTATACTTCAGGTCTTCTTCTTTTTTAATGTATATTTATATCTTCAAAACTAATAAACCGATTTTGATGTAACTTAAAGTGTACCGTAAGTTAAAAGCTAAGCAATTAAACAAAAAAAAGGAATTTTTGCAATCCGTCTTATTTGCGAGATATTCGTGGACAAACATACATATATACATCAATTAAATTTTGCACACGTGCTTAGCCCATACAGGCCAACATATATGTAAATTACGCCTTCCAACGAAATTACATACATACATATCGAATAGATAACCCTTTTTTTTAAGTCAGTTAATAATTATATAAAGAATCATGAACATAATAAATCCATACCGGGTATCATCTCAGGCTCGTCATCTAGCCAACCATCAGGTTTGACAGCGTTAGGATCGACGATCTGCGCAGGGGCATCTTCATCCCAATCTTCCGGTTTCGTTGCTGTCGGATCCACTATCTGTCATACATATGTATTTGAAAGTACATATTTATATAAATAAATGACGAAAAAGCATTTGTTAATTAAAACTAAAGAACTGGAATGACATTCGACGCTTTTAATAGCGTTTGCATTTGGGCCCTGAGCAATGTAGGGAACGCGTAGTAGTTTCATCGTTAAATACCATCAGTTTTACATAATTTCATCGAAGTAATTTTCACTGGAATTTGTACGACATTTTTTTTCACAAACTTTTAAGTATATTACTTGGTAAATTTTATACTATTAAATGTTGACTATTGTAATTAAATTATTATTGCCTTCGTAATTTTTCACAGACGTAAATAGAAAAAAATAACTAAACCAATAAAGACCTCAGTTTCCTTATAACCCTATAAACTATTTTTCAAAACTAATTTTACCAGTTTGTCAGCGTGATCAATATTATGTCGATGCCGTTTTTTTAGTACTGACTCTCAGACGCTGACATATAAACAAACATATAGATAAGGCGAAGACAAAGAGTTCTTATTGAATATCGAACCCTTAAAACGTTTAAGCATTCAACAGAATTACATTATTTAAAGAGTAGCTTAACACACCCTAAAATAAAGAAAAGAAAACCCTAAATATGAGATAAGAAAGTTAAAAACACATTAGAGCAGAATACAAAACCTTTTCTCTCTCATCCCAATCTTCTGGTTTCTTATCATTAGGATCATCAATCTCCTCAGGAGGGTTAACGGGCGGGGTAAAATCTTCCAACAGTGACCCGGCATTAACTTCTTTATCGTCTATGAGCACACTAAATGTATTGTCAGGTCTTACAATCAGTGTGTACAAATGAGGTTCTTTGTCCTTGTAAATATCTTCTAATCGCTGACTGAAAATGAAATCTTTGTGTAATGCTAACTTATTTAGGGTTTAGAGCGGACTTTGGAGCAAACGAAGGGGATTTAGTGTGTAAGTTTTTAAGCATGGAGTTTTTACTAAGCTTTCTGTTGGGTCCGTAAGGTTGAAGGGTCCTACACACTCCTATCGCCTGTCGGGACGGTGGGAAATATGTATATAATATATGTATATAAGTAATTTCTGACCATATTGCCAGAGAAATGAGCTTGGATACCAACAAAAAGAAGATGAACGGTACAAGTATTATGAACGTTATTGAAATGAAGTTCAAATAGTTAAGGACGCACCCCTTCCATAAGTTACCTTGAAAGAATTTACAATGTCAATTTATTTCAATTTTGTTTTTTACAATGGTTGAAAATTAACATAACTTGAAGCATTGTCACTTAAAATTCTCAACAGCTTGATTATTTGTGATGTTCTGAAAAATTTTCATTCATTATTTGTGATGTTCTATTATTCTTAAAATTCTATTTTTACAAAAAATTTACTTTAAATTTTGTGTCGTAAGATGCAAAATAAACTTGTACCTGAAAGTTCTAGAAGCATCTTAGTGTCTTGTGTATTACTAAAATCAAGAAGGCCAGCGCGATATAGCTCGTACACAGACCAGAAATAAGATAATTCCTTAAATGCCAAATATGAATGTAACCCTAGACCCTACCGATGACGCCGTCAGATTTAACTTATTCAAATGCCCTTTATGCATTATTCTATTAAATACCTGGGCTTTTTGCTATGCTTCTCCTCAATTGTGCCATTGATGGGATTTTTGTGTCTGAAGATGAAATGTAATTTGTTGTCATTGCCACATTTGTCAGGGCCAAACATGATAGTGTATGGAGTCTGGTCGTGGAACTTGCGAAGGTCAGCCTTCGTATTGCTACCATATGACAATAACTTGATATATGCACCACCGCAGTTCTGTCCTTCCTGAAAATTGAATTATAAATGCCATTTTCTCCCATTTATTTTCTCTATCCATCTGTATATACGAGTTATGGAAATTCGCCAAAAACAATTTTTTTTTTTTCGTTTATATATATTTCGACTGGTTTTTACGCCCGTAAATGGGTCATATTATCATCATAAATGGACATACGCCGTATAGCGTATCTTGGTAGGGTGTAAGAATTAGTGTTTTCCATGACCTAATCCTCTTTCTCTCTTTTTTCTAACACAAAGATGTTATGAATATTTGTTTTAAAAAAAAACTAACTGTGTTATATAACTAGCTTTTCACAGCGGCTTAGGCCGCGTAGACCCAGCAAACTATACGTGAACATTAGTAGGATATAACATAGTCTATGTTCTTCAACAATGTTTAATGTCTATATCAAACCTTATTGATCTAGTGCAGGGGTTTTGCAGCTCGGGGCGCATTCACGTTTTATATTTTTATACTAGCGTCGCAGGTAATAGTGCGTCATCATTTATTAAGTACCTAACTATGATGGTGTAAAAAAATCGTAAGAATCCGCTAATATTCTCCTGTTTTATAACTACGTATTATACTAAATCAAAATGAAAAAGTCATTTAAATATTCCAGTAAAAGTTGAGCTACATCTGGCAGGCTATCGCCTTTTTTCAAGTAAGTACTATCCTTTTTCTATCGCTCAGAACCATATTTTGCTAGAGTGAGAAAGATAGCGTATTACCTATCAGCCTCAAGGATTCCACGGCGTGCTCTCGCAGAACCAATATCTTTCTCGCTCTGGCAAAGGGTAGTTCTGACCAACATATAAATGCATTACCATGCTGCTGATGTCGCGAAACTCGAAAATGAATTTTAACCTTTTACTCTCTTTCTGTTTTCTTTCTTCTGACTAACGGCCAGTTGCACAAACGTCAATTAAGGTTTAATGACGCCTTTAAGCTCTAGTGAATGTCAAAATTGTATGAGTAATGTCGCTTTAAACTAATGAAAATTATAATTCACGTTTGTGCAACTGGCTGTAAGTCATTAAAAGTTCTGACATTTCATTTAAATATTACTGCGATTTTAGCTGCAACATTACTTTTGAAAGGCACTAGGGGAGAGGGAGGCAGTTTAGAACAGGGGCAGTTTTGAAACAATCGATTTATGAACGCATTCTTCATCTTTTCTAACCAACTTAACCTTTTTAATTCTGATAATACCAAACTACACATCCGTCAGGTCCCAACTAACGTCAATGTCAGTGTCATTTTATAAAAATATTGCCGGTTATTTTACGAAGAAGAAAATAAACAAATATTTTTTTGCTTGTAAGCAAATTTCTGAAAAAGTAAGTATTATTTTCGAGTTGTGATTATATTATAGTGTTGCATATATTATGGACTCAGTATTTACAAATATAAGATCATTAAACAGAAGTTAGTTTTTCGTCTATGAATATTTATTTCTGAAGGTCGGTATTGGGGCAGATTTGAAATAAATCACTGGGGCACTTTTGAACAAAAATTTTCAAAAGTGGTCAAATTGCTTTTGAATAAAATGTTCAACAGTGCACATAAATAAAACATCGGTATTTATTTTATGAAAATTAAGTACCTAAGTGGTTTAATATTGTATTGTGTTTACAGTCATAATGACACGAAATTATAAAAAAAATAATAAAACCCTGGTTGGCTGTATCATTGATACAGCCATATTTTATGCGTGGATACGTCTATGTATGAATGGATATATGAGTAATTGATAAAAAAAAAAATAAACAAATTGAAGACACTAAACACTAAATAAATAAATATTCGTTGCGTTCATTTGTAGAATAAATAAAGTATTCACTAGCGCCAACAGATGGCGTTAGTGCATATACTCCTGCTGACAGAATGTCCCTCTCCCTGCAGAGCAAGCATAGTTCACTTATACGCCAATAGATGGCGTTAGTGCATATACTCCTGCTCACAGAATGACCCCCCTGTAGAACGAAAACATAGACGTATCCACGTCAAAAAAAAAAGAAAATGACGAAGAAGATGCACAACGAGCTGTTTTGTGTGTTATCAACGACGGAATGAAGCTGAGGACCGCTGCTGCAATATACTACATAAAACCATCTATTTTATTTTATAGAGTCAAAAAATATAAGGAGAATTTAACTCCTAAAAATGAAAAATATTGTAGCAAACACACTGTGCATCAAGTTTTCACAAACGATGAAGAGAGCATTCTGGAAAAGTACTTTCTAAAAATGTCTAAAATGTATTATAGTCTTACGTATTGTAAAGTGGATAAATAACAAGATTGCGGGTATTGAATGGATGAAAAACTTTATGAAAAAAGGCACTCAGTATTATCTTTGCGAAAACCTGAAAATACCAGCCTTTCTCGCTCAACAAGCTTTAATAAATTTTGTTTCTTTTTTCATAATTATTTTTTTATAGCCATTAAGGTTATTTAGTTTGTTTATTTTATATTTTACATGTTTTAAATTCCTTCCTAAGGCTTTTTGAAATGTTGTATTTTTTGAGATACTAATGAACGTTATTACTTTTTACTATTGTTTCGCAATATCTTATTTGATCTCGGTTGTAACTATAAGTTTGTTACTCTTGTTCAAGACTGCCCCAGGTGGTTCTGAGTTTTATATAGTTTATGCAATTAAAATTTATTTTAAGAAATAAATGAAAGTGTACTATGATAGTATTAGATACAAATAACATAAATATACTGTTGATTATATTCTTAGTTACATGGTTTTCATTTTATCATGGTTTTTCAAAACTGCCCCAATGCATTTCAAATGTGCCCCATCCACGGGGCACATTTGAACAAAATTGAGTTTTAAAAAAACAGAAATGTGTTACATTTAACAACTCAAAATAAATAAATTTCATTTTTGTTATGTAGTATAAGCCCCATATCTAATATTAAAATAAATTAAATCTTGATTAGTAATACCATACAAGAAATATTATATTTTACTTAAAAAGTGTTCTAATGTGCCCCCCTCTCCCCTACTAACTAATTTTAATTTTACACACCGCAGCATATTTATTGTAAAATTTCTGCAATTTCGAACATAATGAACAATAAATGAAGATATAAAATCGGTTGAAAAAAATTGACAATTTTTTACATGGCGCCAGAAAATATGCAAAAATAAAAATTCAACTTCTTTCAGTGTTTTTTTCCTAGATTCTAGTTTATCGTCTGGGTCAATGGGCATTAAAACGCGATAAGCATTGAAGCAAAGCAAATTTTACTCATAAGAATGTAACTTTATCAGATTCTACCAATATTATTACTAGCAGAGAATGCAGTAGGGTCAAGAATTTTAAAGTCCAAAAATAGACCGTAACCAGTATATCTATCTATAATAGTAATATCTTTTTTTAGTTCATTCACATAATGTATAGAAGTTTCTATTTTTATGAACAGTAAACTGTACTTCCGAAACAAAAATTGGACGAAAGCCAGAATTTACGACGTATTTCAGTTCTTTGTTGATATTTTCGTCGAGTTGTTTTGCACATTCACACGGATATGTTTGATGACATTTGCCATTAAATAAAAAACTAAAAAAGAAAGCAAGGGTCAGTGAAGCGACTTTTGCCTATGTATCTAAACTTAATTAATTACAATAATCAAACTATAAATATACGACCTTTTTAACATGATAATATAATAATATTAACACAAAACATGATGCAATAGTCCTCACAACTTTCGTGGCACTTAATGTTCTTTGACTAGATAATTCAATTATGAAGGTTCAATGTCTCTTGGAATTTATATAATAGGATTATAAGAACTTTATGTAGATGTTTGTTCCTTATACCTATTTTCTTAGCACAATGGATGATGATTAAGATACTTGATTCAACTCAAATTGATTTTTCATTGCATCAAAATATCATAATCATAATAGTCATATGTTTAACTGAATTAATATCAATAGAATTCAAGTTATAATAAATAGAAGTATCCAAATGTGAGCTATTTTATGTATCTTTTAAGTTAATAGTAATGCACATTGACCTAACCCAGAGTAGTCCATGGACAACTGGTGGTCCCTGGAAACATCTAAAGTGGTCCATGAAGCCTTATAAAATTATCTATATAATAATTTTATGTTATTTATTGATGAATTCATAAAACATATAATACTTTATTTATCTAGACTTAGGTATAGAATATTAAAATGATTTTAGTGTTTGAGAAAAAAACAAGATAGCTCAGCACTCCATTAGACAGGGGCTTTAGTATCTTGAAATATAAGAATCTGCATTTGTGACTAATTTTGTTAGCATATAGTGCAATAAATGATTAAGTTTATCTATATAAATATTTTAAACACACATAGAAATAACAGAAGTTAGACATAACTATAAAGTAAGGGCACTGCTTGTTTCAAGTTATTATTAATGCTCACCTGCATAGTAACTTCATACTGAACTATCAGTGGTTTATCTGTAAACTGAAAAGGTCTGTCCAGCAGTGCGGAAATGGCTGCATGTTTAGCTTCTGTTGTAAGCACTAACCCAAGATCATCTTTGAGTATCTTCTTTATTGGTGCTTGAATCTACAAAATTAAAAATATCAAAACATGAAAATCCTATGTCTAGCAATGATTTTCTAATCTTATCAATGAATTTGATATATCAACAATTTCCTCATTTGTCATCACTTATAAAGTTAAGATTCTGAAATCTATCACTGAATGCTTCTACCAAAAACTTTCGAAACTATTTTCACAAGCTATTATTAAACCTGCAACATTTTATGTTAGTCAAATATTGCAACTGAATTTTAAAGCCTAAATGGAAAATTTGCATGCAAGTTTAGTTTAGTTGACAATGCATGTTTAGCTGTCATATAATTTATGAAAAATACTTTAAAAAATCCACTTATTCTGCACCCCGAGATGGGATTGGAACCCATGACCTTTCCCAATACAGGCAATTGCTCTAACCACTACCCAGGTAGGCCCTGGGTCCTTTCCTAGTCCTGGAATCTTTCAAGCACTTGTTACTTTTTTGCTACTACAGAGTATATTGTCATCAATGTTCAGGCAATCCGTTTGGGTGGATTGAAAGAAATATTTTTATAAATATTTAAATTTTACAATACTATCATTAAGAACATTTTTCAGTATAGCATATTGAATGCAAATTCAAATATCAAATATAATAAGTCAAATCATTTTAAATCTAATATAGCATACAGCCTAAGATGATGGGAATATTGGTATCAAATATAAGGGTTTGGTGAAAACCAGCTATGATGGCAAACTAGTAATCATATACTAATAAAAATCAATAATGCTACTGTATATATAATCACTATTCATTTGTATTGGCTTTAGTCTTTTTAGAAATACAATAATAATTTGTCAAACAGAACATCAATACTCACTTCCCATCTTCCATCATATTTAGCTATATTCTCATCAACACCCTGTTTCTTAGCCTCAGACTTCACCCATTTCTTTTTGAATGCTGCTTCATCATCAAAGTGTTCGGCAAGGTAAACTTTTTTTGGGTTAACCTGTGGGCTAATATACTTTTCATCTTCTTCAGTCTAAAAATAAAATTATTGAATAGTTATAATATTACAGTAACTATAATTATGTATATTATAATCCAAAGCTAAATGTGTTTCTTTTATTTTCATAAAATATTGCATATGTAGTATCTGTGTTATAATAGCATCTGCAGTTTGTTTTAAATAATTACTTTATGTGCTTTGTAACTTACTCCAGTTTTTATTATTTTAACTACCAACCAATTATTTATTATTTCAACTTTTACATAAACTTCTCAGTCTTGCATGAAATTACTTGCACTTATAAATGTGATTAGCTAGATTAACAGATAATAATGAAAGCCACACTACAGTAAAAAATAAAAAATCAATTTTTAACATTCTACGATTAGCAATTTTTTGAATTCTAGAATTAACTTTTAAAGTGAAGTATATTTCTGCTTATTATCAGCTTTTATTATAATATAACTAACATAACTTACAGTCAAACTAACCCAACATGAGCACCAGTAAAATCACAAAATTCATTCAAACAAGTGCAGCAATGCCATACATTCTTAACAATTGTTTACAAAAAATATTTAATATATTTTGTAAGAAATGAATATATCCATCAAATACATTATTTTTACAAAATAAAACTTACAAAGAGTTTAACCCTGCCTTGACCTGTACTTATACATACATCTATGGTAGTATTTAACAAAACAGAAGTTACAAAAGGTCCAGATAATAGAATTTTTTTAAAAAGGGATTGGCTAATCAGAATCCCATTGTACTAACCCTAGAAAGAAATATATTTATAATAAAATTATTATTAATTAAACACATCCATTTTAATTTCATTATGTACATACAAAAAAGACCTCTGCAGTTCAGCAAGTCACTCCAACATAAAACATACTCTAACATTTGAGCAACATAGACTTATTCACTAACCAATACCTTACTTCTCTTAAAGAAAAAATAATTATTATTTTCTTCTTTTACCTGTAATGCTCTACACTGAAAATACAGATACCTTTATATAGGTCAAGATTGATTCTACTAACCTCTACAATGACTCCATCATCAGCATCTTCACTTTCTGCCTTTACGATAACAGTTGTCCCAACTAACACCAGCAAGGCACTCAGTAAAAATATTTTATAATTAATCATAGCCATCTGAAATAAAGATTTAGTAATCTATATAAAGAACGGTTTTACGCATAAAAAAGATAAAGATTTACAATGTAATGTTTTTGTGATTAATTTAATTACAAAGGAAAAGTTCCCAATGTAAAAATCGAACTACAACCTAATTATGATAGACGGAAATCGGATATCCTCATTAAAGGATGGGTGGGTGACCCAGCGCTTACTATTTACCGAAATAAATTCCAAAGTTTATTTTGTAACTTACCATGCTCTTTAACTATGAAATACTCTTAATACTGATTGTTTTAACATAAAAATTACGATCATGTACTGTACTAGACAGAACGTACCCGAGCGATTTCCATTTTCCACTGAAAAAATTTCAGCCAATCAACAACAAACAGTTGTCAAAGAAAGAAGTGGTCGAGACTTTTCGGACACGTTCAAGAAAAAAAAAATGTTGTGCTAGACATACATTAATGTGATGACAGCGGAAAGATCTGCGTTATTCCTTCAAAAAATTGCCGAGCCTTCTATCGCATTCGACGACCTATAGTCTAGTGGTGACTCGTACGCCGGTTTCAAGATCTAGTTAACTCTAAGGTTCGGGTTCGATTTCTCGTCGGGTCATAGTAGAAAATGGACTCTTCTATAGTGTCACGGATCTGGGTATTGTGGTATCTTGGCTGTCTCAGATGTTTTATAATACGGGGACTTTAGCTACTCATCTAAAAATCTGAGCAATGTGTGTGATACTGTCAAATATTTATAAAAAAGAATCATTTAAAAAAGAGATGATTGTAATCGCTCTCACATGTCAAATAGTTGTAGCATGTAGTTCGAGACTATCTTTCAAATTTCAAACTCAAAGGGATTACGATAGATTTTAAAATTTTACATACAGGACTATGATTCCATAAAAAGCTTTTACAATCTCTATACCTTTGAAAGAGATTGTGATTGATTTTGAAGTAAGAGTTTATTATATCGCTGATACAAGACCTCACTACAATTCAAATAGGCGGTCCAGCGACACAGAAATGTGTTTCCACCTTTTGTCTGACAAATGTGTCTCACTTACCTCTCTTACTTACCACAGCCACAGAAATGAGAAAATATAGAAACCATTACCACAAAACGCAAGAAACCAAACGTCCATACGCAGTGGCGGACTAAGGGGTGGGGGAGCGGTACGCCCCGGGCCTCTTGTCCTGGGGGGCCTACAAATGGCTGCAAGTTCCCTTGATCAAATCATAGATTGGGTTTATACCGACTTATCTTTCTTATGTCCAGTTAAGTAGTCTTAGCATTAGGTCCTCCCAATGGGTAAATGCTATACCAAGTTTCTGCCCCAGATGGAAAAAGTTGTAGGTTGCCTGGTGCTACCCCGAGCCATAAATATTGTTATTTTGAATATTTAAAATAAATTGAATATTGTACTTTATTTTCCTTTTACGATTTGACATTCATTTGAAATAATTAATTTTAACCATGCATACATCTTAACTAATTTTTTTTTTAATTCTGAAACAACACTTCATCTAGTGTAATCATCCCTCCGTGACGCTCTTTTTGGTTAATGCTTTTTCCAAATGAGGAAAAAGCATTATCCTTGCGATTAAAATATTTAAACAGAAATATTAGTTCCCGAAATCAAACTAGATGTCGCTACAGTACTTTCTTCATTTTTCCATGACAACCCTTCTGGTTTTCTGTCATATCTCATGTATCTTCGATTGAACGAACAAGCAAAACCTTATAAGTAAAAGATGGTTAATATCTTGATTATTTCTCTAAAAGAATTTGATTCTGTTCAATCTATCACAATCATTTTCAAACGTACTCATCCATGGGCGGTTAACTAGTCTAAGTAACGAATGATAAACAGTGAATAAACAATTTAACTTTAAAAACAATTAACATTTTAAACTTTGGCACGTGGAAACTATTATAAAGCTTCTCATTATTTGCTAAATCTATATTCCACCCACCTATAAATTGAACGAACAAGCAAAACCTTCTAAGTAAAAGATGATTAATATCTTGATTATGTCCCTAAGTATGAATACGCAATAATTTGCAATAAAAAATAATTTGATTCTGGCCTAATTGTCTCGTTTTTCAAACCAACACAATCATTTTCAAACGTATAGCGGTTATGATAGTGACTTACGGAATTGTGTAACTTTTAAGCTTTTTTTGGAACAAATGATGATTTGAATGATATAGAATGTCATAAATAACTCATTTCATTTTGTTGTTGTTAAGTTGTGAAATAATATTGACGATTTCGTATGATTGAAATCGTCGAAGCTTGTCTAGGAATGATCGATTCGAGTCAATACACGTACATACTAGAAACTTTGCTTTCGATACCTATGAGGAAGTATTTAAAAAAAATAGTTCCCGAAATCAAACTAGATGTCGCTACGGTACTTTCTTGATTTCTCCATGACAACACTTCTGGTTTACTTTCATGTATACCAGAAGGCTAAATTCATTTTCAAAACTCAATAAACAACTCATATTCAATTTGTACTTTTTCGTATTTGCATGGATATTTAAGTTACGAACTTTGCGAATTTCAGTTTTTAAAAATGTTAGTTAAAAGGAACGCATATTACTATCTTTGGTCCTTTTGCTTGAGTCTCTATGTAGTGACGTTTTTTTTTTAAATATTAGGGGTTAAAGTATGAAATTGTTGTTTTATTGTAATAGGTCCCTTAAATTGACATAGAAACTTCATTGTTTGAGGTTTTCGAAAGAAACTTTTTTCACATAGTTTTTATGATGATCTTCTTTTAAAAATGTGAAACATTTGAATATCGACTTTCAAGTGTTTATGTTATTCAACTTGGACAAGAAAAGATTTTTGAATACGAGTTCCAACGCGAAAGTAACGCGGCAGAAACAGCCCGCAATATCAATGTTGCTTTTGGAGTGTGGTCTGCTAATGAACGCACCGTGCGATTATGGTTTAAACGCTTTAGTGATGGAAACTTCGACTTGATGGAAGCCACGAAGAAGGCCGCCCATACAGGTGAATAACGATGAATTAAGAGAGATGGTGGAAGTCGATCCTAGTCAAACTATCCAGGAATTTGCGGCATGGTTAAACGTTACCTTCGTCATTCTTCGTATTCGCCATACGTTGCTACAACGGACTAACATTTTTTTCGTGATTTGGACAATTATCTACGAAACAAGAAGTTTTCTTCTCAGGAGGCAGTACAAAATACTTTCACGCAGTTTGTACAGTCTAGATCCTCAGAGTTCTATCGCATAGGCATAAATGACCTTCCTCTTAGATGGCAGCAATGTATAGATAATAATGGTAACTATTTTGATTAAATAAATTTGTTAAAAATTTTAAAATAAACAATTTTGATTTTCAGTACAAATCGACAATTTAACTCCTATTATTTATATTAAAATAATTCGACGTGTGGTTGCATAATGGCACATATGGAAATACTGCACATAAAAAGAACAAGCTGTATTCTGCGCTCCGCTTTTTCTTCTTGTTTTCAAACCTGAATTCGTATGAATCGAGTCAATTGAAGTAACGAACAACCAATAAGTTGGCTCAACACTAATGTTGACATATACACTAAACATCGTTCCTTTACACGTAATATAATAAATAACCTAAACTTACGATTCAAATAAATAAAATTAATTTGAAAGTTATATATTATAAGAAATACGAAACTATATCATATTTATTTTATTTCCGATACTCAATTTACTTTCATTACGTCAGAAACAAATTTTGAATTAATATCATAGACAATATCCAAACATTGCTAGTGACATGTAGATTGATTTCAAGAACTAATTTTTATTTTTTAAATACTTCCTCATTGACATACAGATTCTACAATTTTTGCTGCCATCTAGTGAAATAAATTTTCTCAAGATGGCAGCACAATCAACTAATGTAAATGAGCTTGAACTAATGAGAGTCATTGACTGTCTAATGAAAATACCAAATAGACCTATGTTATTAAGCTTGCAGTAGTGGATAAAACAATGTCAAGCATTGATCTCCTACTGAAAATAAGTACAGAAATCACTGCACTACGCATGCGGGCCCTTACGATCAATGTAAATGAGCTTGCACTAGTCGATAAACCAATAACAATCAACGAGCTACCGCGTGACGCGAAATTATTCTAGCGAAACTTTTTTATTTATGTTAATATAAAAAAAAAACAATATTTTTTGATTATGCTTATTCTTCCTTAATCCTTAATGAACAATAAAAGTTGGCTGAAATAATAACTCACAAATGGCGCTCGCCGACCGCTGCCGCGAACTTGCGCCATTATCAATTATTTGTCATATTATTTGTTAGTTATAATAATTTAACTTTATGACCAAAAACACTATTTGAGTATGTAATCTATAGAACGATGGTTATAATAACTAAAAATAAAAGAAATGAATGTTCTACAAATTAGGTATTAATTGACATTTGTTAGACATTTTGAATATTATGGTTTTTGATATTATACAAAATTAATATTATTTAAAAGAAGTCTTATATTAAACGAAATCATGATAAGTATTCGTTATATAATAATGACGTTAGTGATATGAAATTATATTAAAAGTAGCTATAATAAATAAAACGCACCCCCGATAATGAGGAAGTATTTAAAAAAACTATTTCGTATTTGTATTGATATCTAAGTTTCAAACTTTTCAAATTTCATTTTTTTAATATGTTATTTAAAAGGAATGGAGATGCCTATCTTTGGTCCATTCGTTTCCTGCAAAAATCAACTTTTGCTAGGGTCGCCTCTAGTGGAGCTGCTTTTTTTTAATGCTTTCTTTTTTTAAATACTTCCTCATTTATACTTTCGAAAAGGATTCTGCTGAAGTATTATTTGGTATCTAATCAAAAGCATCGATACCATTGTATGTCGATATTTTTTGCTTATCCCTACTTCCCTACCTGTGTCATATTAAGTTAGTGTTGGTTGTTGTGCTTCGTGTTTAATGTCTTGATTTCGAATAAAAAAATGTTCCTTTATTGATAATTTATTTGTAAATCTTTATGCAGATTGTTACGCTTATCTTGTATACAAGTTATTAGAAACAGATTGCAAATGTCAATATGTCAGGATCTCGGCCTTAATTTCCAACAGAGAATGGTGAGAGAAAATAGTGCTAAATATATGTAATGTTATATTTGTTTTATACAAAAAAAGTACTTAATGTAGCTGTATTCAATATTAACAATAAATGCAGTAGATTGTTACTTATTTGGCTATAAAATATTCCAATACAACACTTATTTTAATCTAATCTAAGTTTGATCGGCATTTCTACACCAAGTCAAATTTGACGGATGTTCGTATGTAACATAAATCTAATGAGTACATGGTTATGTATTTCAGGGCGCAAATATATCACAGTTGGAAAGAGATATCGGATCAGAACAATTCCCACCTAATGAACATTATTTTGGTTTAGTTAATGTAAGTTGGAAATGCAACAAAAAAATTGCTTATAATAAAAATGCTTTCATTTCTCTAATTTGGCAGTCAATGTTTTTAAATCTGAAATTATTTTTCCAGTTTGGTAATACATGTTACAGCAACTCTGTATTGCAAGCTCTATACTTCTGTAGACCATTCAGAGAGAAAGTCTTAGAATATAAAGCTAAGAATAAGAGAACAAAAGAGACTCTTCTGACATGTCTTGCAGACTTATTTTATAGTATTGCTACTCAAAAAAAGAAAGTTGGTTCCATTGCACCAAAAAAATTTATTGCAAGATTAAGGAAAGAAAAAGGTAAAAATAATTAACTTTTTTGTAGAGTAAAGAACCTTTCTTTAATTCCTAAGTTTATTTATATTTATATATAAAAAAGAAACTGGAATATATATATTTATGTAACAAATTTTTGTGGAATATAATATTTTTTCTATAATTCTAATTATAGGCTTGGGCAAAGGTTCAAATAATTTTTATTTTGATGATTTTCTAAGGTTGTTGTGTGTTGAAATAACTCTTAATTAACTGTCTTGTAATTTTAATTCATCATAAAGTTTCTGCTGCCAGTATGCTCTGTAAACAATCATAGAACATATATGATTATATGTATAGACATAAACATTATCTATCCTTTATTTTCTTATAGAAAAATTAGTTACTTCACAAGGCTGGTATTTGGCCTTTGTCAGGAATACTTTTTGTTAGTTTACCTTTATAAAAAAATGTGTGTTGGTATGTTTTTATTAATGTGTGATAAAGAATAATGTAAATGAAACAAAAATTTAATAGGTAAATATTTTTTCTAAACCTTTATAAATCCTATTAATATTATAAAGGCGAAAGTTTGTAAGTATGGATGTATGGATGTTTGTTACTCTTTCACGAAAAAACTACTGGACGGATTTGGATAAAACTTTACAGCAATATAGGTTATACATCAGAATAACACATAGGGTACTTTTTACTGGGAAAACTTCTCACTCCCACGGGATACCGACTTCCACGCGGACGAAGTCGCGGGCGTCCACTAGTACAGTTGATAAAGTTATTTTCTGTTTAGAACTTGTTAGGTGATTTAATTCTGGTTGAGAGGTATAGAATATGTACATAGGTTTTATATAAAATAGCAATCTTTCATTGAACCTCTATGAGAAGAAACAATCAAATTTAAGAAATTAAAAAACAATCAAACTGACCAAAATACTAGAATTGTCTAAGATCCAATATTTTGCTCAGTTTTAATCATAGAATTACTGTAGCAAATCTAAACCAAAATAAAAAGGTCTTACTGACTTCTCTTAGTTGCCCACAGTAAGTACAAATGTATAGGTGATAGTTGATTTTGCAAAGCTCACAAAAACATAAAAGAAAAGTCAGTAACATGTTTAATTACTTTTCAGAGGAATTTGATAACTATATGCAGCAAGATGCCCATGAATTTCTTAATTTTCTTATAAACCATATTAATGAGATTATTTTAGGTAAGGCTTTCATATATTATTATAGATTATGTAGGTACTATTAAAAATTATAATGCTTTTTCAACTATCCTTGGATTTTTTTGCCTTAAGTTTTCCAATTTCATATTCTTAAATGCCTGTTATAGCTGAAAGAAATCAAAATACATTAAAAGTACAGAAAAATGCTTCTGAAAATGTGACATGCAATGGAACAGTGCCCCAAAACACTGAACCAACTTGGGTGCACGAGATATTCCAGGGGACACTCACCAGTGAAACCAGATGTCTCAATTGTGAAACAGTGAGCAGCAAGGATGAACATTTCTTTGATTTACAGGTAGCACCTTTATAAGTGTGTGTGATTAATTCATTTTGATTAATAGGTTGAAATAAATGATTGCAATAGTTAAAAAGTAAATGGCGACAATGGTAATATATATTTAAAAATAAAAATTGAAAAAAGTGGTCATGTATGAAAGTTTTTCTAAAAGATTTTGTTAACTAGATCACTAACAAAGTAAACAAAAATAAGAAATACTAGTTTTATTAGGCGCCACCCCTACCTGGAAAACTAAGCCAGAAAGTTCTAAATTTTATTTGCAAGGTGGGGCTTGTAAATAATGAATAACAAGTTCACTTTCGTTTTGCCATTTATTCTAAAAACTTTTAATTAATTTTTAAATTTAAGTTTAGTTAAATATTTCAGTTTTTTTTTTACTATTAATAAAAAGGTTTACATCACCAACTTTGTTTCTCCTTAATGCATGCTAACATAGCTGCATCATAATAACATCGTGCTAAGCTGGCGTGCCTAAGATAGTGGTGTATGGCTCATGCAAAAAGGTTTTTGATTCAGGATATCAAAAATTGAAGTACAAAAAATATATAAGATAAAGCCACCGGCTGAAAAGAAATCACACACTGTTGATTAAAATTCGGAAACAAAACAAAGGAAATATATATCGATCGATTCTGTCGAAAACTTACCGTTTAAAACAAAAACCTAATATGACATGGGGCAAGGTAGGTAGCCCCTAGGTAGGTTTATGTTTCCACCTGTAAAGATAAAAACTTTGAAATTCTAAAAATACACTGATATAATTGTAATTCCATCAAGAACACAGCATACCATTATAAAATATTGGGAAATTTTACTTAAATATCATAGATATAACTCAATTTAAAAAATAAGAAAAGATATCATATCTTTTTACTATATAAAATGGTCGTAAAGTGACCACCAGAAAAGACAAATGTCAAAACTGATATTGAAGTTTACTTTTTTTTATTACAAAACTTTAAATTGACCTTGGGATGAGGCCCATTCAGCCGAGTTGTAAGAAAGAATTTCCATAAAATTATGGAAGCTTTTTTTACCAAATCAATAAAAACACATCCCCCTATGATACATATTTACTAATCTGTAATGTGATATTATTTCTACCAGGTGGACGTGGGACAGAATACCAGCATCACACACTGCTTAAAGTGCTTTAGTGATACAGAGACATTGTGCAACGATAACAAATTCAAGTGTGATCACTGCAGCAGCTACCAGGAGGCACAGAAACGGATGCGTGTGAAGAAGCTCCCTTTGATCTTAGCCCTTCATTTAAAACGTTTTAAGTATATGGAACAGTATAACAGGCATATCAAGGTGTCACATCGTGTAGTCTTTCCATTAGAGTTGAGACTGTTTAATACTGTAAGTTGTCACTGTATTAGTCACAAGTAATTTGAATAATTATTTCACAATATCACTTTAGCAGTATTCTCATGCTTTTACAACAATTTTTAATAGATAATATAAATAACACAGTATGTTGAGAATAGTTTTTTAGATATTCAAAATTAATCTATGAATATCGCTAATTTGAAAATGAACACCAATTTATTTTGAACTAGCTTTCGCCAGCGGCTTCGCCCGCGTGTACCCTAGGGAAATGTTTAGTGGGATAAAACATATCCTATTATCTAAGTCAGCTAGCACCCTATCTGTATACCAAATTTCATCAAAATCCGTTCAGTAGTTTCGGCGTGATTGACGTACAAACATCCAAACAAAGAAACTTTCACATTTATAATATTAATAGGATAACTAAAAAATATTCTCAACAGAAGTTCTCGTTCGAGCAGACCGGGCTTTCATTTAAAAATTTGAAAAAATTGTGCATGTTTCGCAGTCTGATGATGCGGTGAACCCAGACCGGTTGTACGACCTGGTGGCGGTGGTGGTGCATTGCGGTTCAGGACCCAACCGCGGACATTACATTAGCATCGTTAAGAGTCACGGTTTCTGGCTGCTCTTCGACGACGACATGGTCGATGTGAGTTCACTATGTAACATTATCTACATTGTCTAGTTTTGTAACTTACATAAAGATACAGAACAAAAAACTTTTGCTGAAAAATCCAAACCCAACTTAAAACCCAGTTGTTAGTTATCAAAAGAGTAGCGATAAGGGACTATTTAATTTAGCTGATGTATCGTTTAAACATCCATTTTGTTACAATTACTTTTCTGAGTGGTAGTGATTAAGTTTTAATTTATTAATCAATCTAATTTACAGTGATATATTTAACGTGAATTATAGAAAATTATAACTGTGAACTGCTTTTTGCTGATGATACATATATTAAATACGAATGCATTTACGTTGTTCTTTGAAGAAAAGCATAAAATAATAGCAAATATATGCTTGGGCTAAGATATAAACTATACAGATGCCTCATCCCATAGAACAAAATGTGACCGTTCTAACTCGGGCTATTTTGTCTTACTTGAGTCGGCGCTAGAAGCTACAAGTGAACAAGCAACACTTAGAATTGAACTTGTCTATTCTATGGATTTTCGCATAAACGTGAATATAGATAATTATTGATTATAATTAATTACAGTACTATCAACCGCACGTTAGGTTATACAAACTGTCAAAATTATCCACTTGAACTTCTAAACCTTTGAACGTCTAAATTTGACATATTATGGTAACTTAACTAGCAGCCGTGTGTGTGTACATAACTTATTTTTTCAACAAAATACTTATTTTCTTCTTGAGGGCTGATTTTGAGGCTTCGTAAGACAAACAGTTTGTTTTTTAAAATACAGTATCTTTTAATACATATGTGAAACACACTGTTTGTTACGTGCTCTATATTTTTGTGTTTATATTCGCCACAATTATGTGGAAAGTCATTATTTACGTCATTTTTTAATATTTCCCATATTAAGGTTTTAACTTTAGGCTCACGTGCCTTTTTTTTTTAATTCATTACTGTTGCAATTTTTTCCACACAATCAATAAATTGTTTGGAAACATGAATTAGAGAATTCTCTAAAGATTAATATTTTTTATAATCAATGAAGTTAATGTAGGAATATTTAGGTATCTTGCGTCTCTGAAAGAAATATTGTTTTGCAAACGTCACAATTCCTTTCACATTTTCCAGACCCTGTATGTACCAAGTTGCTCATGATGGCAGTTTTTAATCCAACAACAAATTGACTTACTGTGGGGTTGCTGTTAGCCCCACAGATGGTGCGTATGCACCCAAACAAATTCTCTAATGGGTCCTGTAAGTCTTCGTGTAGCTAAACTCTTCACGCATTTATATTTTTTTGTGAGGGTATTCCAAATTATTTGTATACCATTTAAAGTCGATAATCACCCATCCCTGGATGGAGGGTTTCCACGGCAACCAATAAAATCAATTTTATTTAAAGTCCTTTTTATCTTATTTAAAAAAAAAAACAATATGGTCAGAGCTCTTTTTTAAATTGGTCGAATATTTTTTTCCTCTTCTCAGATGAGGCGTATAAGCGTTGATCACATCAAATAGGTCATCCATGTTTGATATTAAATTACCTGTTGCTAAGGTTGCAGTCGGCATATATCCTGAACTTGACAAAAAAAAACAATTAATTTGATTACTATTTAACTAAAATTGATTGATCACTGTTTAAGAAGGCAGCAACAAGTTATCGATTGTTGCAAAAAAAAACGATCGACTGAATCGAAAATTGTGCTACTGCGCATTCGATTGTCGATTTAGTAGTTCGCTGCCAAAGTACTATTAAAGTTAAATAAAAGAAGATGATAAGATAGACTTATACTGACGCGGACTTTTTTAGAACTTTTAAAGGGGATGAATTTCGTAATACTTGATTTTTGCTTACTCTTTTACGCAGCGCACGCAAGGAAAGCTTTAAAAAGAGTAAAATATTACCCCATTTTGCAACATTTTTTATTGCCGCTCCTCTCCTATAAGACATAACGTGATGTTATATAGCCTTAAGCCTTCCTCGATAAATGGGCTATTCTTAAAAAAAAAAAAATTAATACGTTCCAGTAGTTCCTGAGATTATAGAGTTCAATAAATCAAACAAAAAAAATCTTCAGCTTTGTTATCAGTATAGATTTGTTAAGAATAATAATGTGATCATCGGTAATTGGCGCGCGACGCTCGTTGCCCGTTGCTCCCACCGCTGCCGTCCAGAACGGTTCATACAAACATCAAGTCCCACGTTGCACCGCGGTCGCCACCGCCATCGCGCCCGCGGGCTGCGAGTTTGGGCCCATATTATCACCTATGTAACTGTTTGATCTTGGCAACCTCATAATTGACCTAAATCGAAATTAAACTCGAAGCAACGTATATTTTTCAATATTTCTAACCGTCGATTTTCACCAATAACAGATTATAAAAGAAGCTAATCAAAAACTTTTTTGTTTATTGATTGCCCTGATTTAGCTAAGCAAATATGTTTTTTATTAGTCTACATGTTATCGAACATATAAACTTTGTAACAATGAAATATCAGATGAGGTATAAATTTTCATGCTTATCGTACCTATGTGCCTCTAACTACATGGATTTGATAACAGTCAAATAACATGACAAGTTATTATCATGTTATTCATAAATCATGTTATTTGACATTTTGTCAAATAACATGACAAAATAGACAGATGAAATTAAATATCGCCATAATGTTGTTAATATGTCGTACCCACCTATGGCTAGAGTTAGGCGGTCACACACCTGAAACAAAGACGGTTTCCTCTTCAAACGTGACTAATCACTTACCGTTAGATACCCTCATGAATAACTTAATAATCTCTTTTTTTCAGAAAATAGATGCCTCTGCAATAGAAGACTTCTACGGCCTAACTTCAGATATACAAAAGTCGTCTGAAACTGGCTATATACTATTTTATCAATCGAGGGATGCTAGTTGTTAAGTTTCTTCAGTAACAATATAGTAGTTTATATTATTTATATGAAATAGTCACTACGATAGATCATGTTAAATTTTAATGCCACATTTGTTAAAGTTGAAAAGGGCATTATTATTATTGAAATTTTTGAAACCTTGATTATTATTCAATTTTTAGAATTCATTCAATTGTAAATAAAACTCATTTCAAAATAAAACCTGATCTTTCTCTGTATGCAGAAATTCTTTTTAATTGTTAAAATTAAAACTTTCACTAAATAAGTATTCTTTATTTGGAAAGATTTATTTTAGCAATACATATGTGCTTATCTGTGCAAAAGAATATACTTTTGCTCAGACGACGTACCGGACCGGACCAGACAGAATAATCTGCGCCTGGCTGGTCCGTTCGGCGATCAAATGAGGCGCGGAAATTGACTACCATAATATTAAAGCCACTAAAGTAAACCCACGCACATTCGAGACCAATATACATAAGTTCATTTTCTACATAAACCCGACCGTCAATCGAACCCAGAACCTCTAGAGTTGGCGACACCTTGAAACCGGTGTGCGAACCACTGCTAGAATTGGCGGTATCATGTTAACGGAGGACGCAACCAATAAACGTGATACTACCCTCTATAAATACCGTTGCAGAGCGCAGTCTGTCCTCATACGTCGTGGATTCGCAAATAGACAAAAATTAGACCGTTTAAAAAAAACATAATAAAGAGAAACTACTGAAAAAGTGGATACACCGACAATTTTTTGAGGTCGATGCCAGCCGTGTAAGAAGTAAAACAGCATTATCAGATAATCCCCTTTTTCTCTTACGATACGTGATATTTTTCTTATAAATACTGGCACAGACCTAAAAAAATTGTTGGTATATCCGCTATTTATTTCGATTTTATTGAATATGAAAATTTTTGGTATTATTTCCCTTTAGTAGTTTTTCTTGCGATTCGATTTAATATTCTTTGTTTTTTATTTGTTACTTATTTAATAATAGACGTTATCACCGATCCGCATTACTCACTTCTAACATTTAATAAATGGACACCTTCGTCTGTTTTTAAACATACTTATATTTACCGGATGAGCGTTTTCTGTGATGGAAGCAGTTCTAAGCTAACCTAACCCACTATTCTGGTAACAGTTCGTTTCTTAATTCATTTGGCAAGTTGCCTCTTATGTTGTTTCTTAAGTTGAAAAATAGTTATTCAAACAAAAAAGTACAATTTCAATCCAATATCTAATTAACGACAAATACGTCATACATATACACTCACATATGTGAACATTGCGTCATATTTCAGCAATATTAGAAACATACGTCAAATTGAGAACCTCTTTTTTGAAGTTTGTTAATGACGTATGTACATACACAGGTAAACCGACGGCCTCCTTTTTTTAAGTTGGTTTAAAAGATTATCAATTTTAACTCCTTTTATAAGTGTTAATTTTTTATTCCATTTATAAGTAGCTTAACTCTTCAAAACTACTGAACTGATTTCATGAAACTTGTAACATACTCTGAGTTGAAAGGTAAACAGGGCCGCCACATCTCCAAGTCGGGTCCGGGACCAGATTCTGGCCACGCCCCCCCCCCCCCCTTTTTTTTTTCATCGCGCCACTTTTACTAGAGATGGCTATGATAATTGTTAAAAAACTATTAAACCTTCTCTAACTCTAATTCTACCCAAACAAAAATCATTTATACTTCCTACCAAGGTTCAGTGTTCGAATAAGAACACTTGAGGGGACTGAACTCTATCTTCACTACGTTTTATTCTACATTTAATTTAATTTTAATCAAATTAAAAGAAAGTGTAACTTAAGAATTGATAATTCCAACCAATTATAAAACCATAAAAATGCCATAAATTAACATGAAACAAAAATTCTATATCCTAATCAGTCATAGGATTTTTTATTTTAACTACTTTAAATACAATTATTGGTGAATAGAGGGCGTATTCAGAGAAGTTCCAATTTACTCATTGGTCAAAGGTACGATTGTGGCAGAAATTATTATTGACAAAATTTTATATAATCATTAATCAACTCATGTAATTAACTTTATTTTAATGTTATGGACGGATTAAAAAGGCAAGTTTCTGTATACAAGATGGCTGAAGGAATTAATTGTGACAATGATTAAATCAAATATAATCTTATTAGGGCCCGTCAAGTGTAATACACTCTGTTTAATGTGGGCCTAAAAATTCTAAAATACTTCATTAACTAAATACAGGACCGGACCGGGCCCCTCTGGGCCCGGGCCCGGGGCAACAGTACCCACTTGCCCCCCCCCCCATGTGGCGGCCCTGAAGGTAAATATACTCTAAGGTGAAAAGAAATCATTCCAATCCGACATGTAGAGATATCCGTGGATAAACATACATATTATCTATAAAATTTTGCACACATGTTTAAGAGCCCATACAGACCAACATATATGATTATTATGCCATTCTAACGAAATTACACAATAATAATCATATTTATTTTTCCAAAATTTACATGTGCTTATAGTCAATATCACAATTGAGTAGCTTCTGTGCCTGAATGAGGTTTATATACTTAACCTAAATCTCAGGCTCCAGCGCTCCTCCCTCATTATACGGTCTTAGTATAAGTATACAACATTCGATCCATTTTAGTTTCAACAGTTATAAATTGTCCATTAATAACAATAATCATAAAAAAACAACATATTTTAAGTTTGAGTATATACACCTCGCAGTGATAACCTCCTTTTTTTGAAGTCTGATAAAATAAGAATTTCCTTTTGGTGTGCTGCCCTGCTATTCTGTAAAAATCCGAATTCGAATCCTCTCCAAAAAGCGGCATCCGCTCAACCTTATAATATAACGGTTCGTGGCACAAATAAAGTGAATTTCGATACGAATATTCAATCAATTTCGTTTTGTATTTTATTTTTTTTACGAAAAATGGAATCAATAGAATTAGAATAACAGTCCCTCTGACTGTTCCTAGTTGTATTCTCACTTATTTGAAGTACCGGAAGCTATTTGGAGTAACTGCTGTTTAAATAGATTCTTATTAAAAAGCTGAGCTAGTTTAGAAGACTGGTTCGGGCAGCAATCAGATGAAAAAATTAAACTAAATAAGCGCATGTCGCATTCGTGTTCGCGGTAATTTCAGAACCTCTTCTATGTTCTGTTGTGGTTCTTCTGTTCGATCTCAGTAGTTAAAATCTATTCCAAAAACTATTCTAGGTCATCTTTGAGGCCCTTATTTATTAGTTTAGGACAATGCGGCGATAAATAACTAAAGGAAATACTTTTAGAGATCAATAGAAAATAATGGAGCGCTGCTGAGCTGACGTCAGTCGTGCAGCGTCACGCTGTCTTCTAAAACTATTGCGCTTTAAAAGCTCATTATTTTACAAGTCACCAGCTAGAGTTTATCTACTCTGTAATTATCTCAACAACCATTGTGACGAAATACTGATATAACGTGACCAAATCTAGATTAGTAATATTTTGGACGGAAGTCAAATGTGTAACGATGGCCTGCCGAATTTTTTTGAGTAGTTTATGATTTACCATCAGCCTTGCGAAATTACCATCTGTAAAAAATCCTAACCCGAACTAGAATTCACTCATGTGTCCGAATTCACGTCATACAGTGTGGAAATTCTATTAATTCCATTTTTGCATAAAAATACAAAACAAGATGTTTATTCATACGTGTATCAAATATTCTATTCCTATGTCATTTCGAAATTCACTTCACTTTTGCCACGAAAAGGTTGAGCGGATGCCGCTATTGAAATGAATGCGTACACCTGCGTAAATTCGAATTCGGATATTTACAGAATCACAAGGCAGGAAAATTTGCTGATAGAAATTGGGAGACGTTACACCTTTATATTCTGAATGAGTTCACAATATATCTGAATTTTAATTAAGTGCACTATAAATCACATAATTTTCTTTTTCTAATGCGGGTTAAGCAATGAGCCGAGATCCGATGCCGCTTTTTCCAACATCGAAACTGCTACTGCTTGCTAAAACACCAGCTGCTACCAAGCAGCAACCCCAGGTATTTTATATTGGAGAGGAATAATAAGGAAACTTTTTAGGTGTTATAAAAGAAAATTAAAGAATTCTTATTAATATATATTTTTTTCATTAAGCTACAAACTCATACGGAATGGGCGCCAAGAGCACCGGTTTTTCGAGTCCACTAACTATATGGGCTGCCTTAGGTGGTTCTGGTTGTCTCTTCAGCTTAACAATTTTACCTGCAGCTTTAGCTTCCTTCAGAAGGCGCTCGTTCTCTTTTACACGCTTGAGGAAGTCTTGCCTGCACTTGGAGTGTTTGACATGTTCAATGCGAATGTTAATACGCTTAGGAATAATCCTGCCACGTACCCTTTTGTTTACAATAACACCAAGTGCATGTGCTGTCACATTGTAAACACGGCCTGTCTTGCCATGATAAACTTTGTGTGGCATACCCTTCTGCACAGCGCCGTTACCCTGTAGAAGCAACATAAATAAATTAAATGTTTGTATTTAAAAAAAAAAACAGAAAGAGCCTGAAACCATCAATTGTTTCAAAAACTCAGGTTTCAGAACGTTGTATTGGAAACAAAAGAATCCATATGATATCTAGAGATAGATTACAAATGAAATAAAATGACAATTACAATGGTGACATTATAACTATGATTAAGTTATGCTTAGCATTTTTGTGCTTTGCAGGCAGTCACCAACACCATGATACTGCAAGGTTAAACTGGACATTTTTTTATTGATGATGATATTGTTAACAACAAATTTCAAAATCTCCAATAATTTGAATGAATTATGCACAAACAGTGGTCCTAAGTAGTAGTAATGGAGATAAATAGGGTTAACTCCAATTATGGCTTGGGACAATAGGAGCTTGATGGTGCATTGGTTAGCATTTAGTCTACTTTGAAAGGCATGATAAGGTCATTATCATTAAGGTATAGCTGCTTTGTGAAAATGAAGATGTTCTGCAAAAGTTAATCAATATTGTAAATCTTGTAATTTCTAATTTTCTCTAAACTGAAAAGATGTAATTAGAACACCTATTACTACTATGATATGGATAGAAAAGATTTTATTGCATACTATTATCATAGTCGCAAAATAATATGCACCATTTTGTCACTTTGGCTAGATGTAGAATGATTTTTTTAATGAAAACAACATACCAGATTTTAGTACAAAAAAACAATATTGCTATTGGGATTCTGTCATACCACTCACTTAACTAAACATCTTTTTTTAAATATAAGTTTACAGTATTATTCTATAGTCTTGTTATCAAAAAAATTCAATTGTACTCCATAATAGAATAATATAACTAGTTTACTTGTGTTATAGTTATTTTCGCAAAAAATATTTTCACAAAGTTTGGCAGCACTTAACCTCATTCTTAGTATTTGCAATTCTGTTGCAAAATGAAATAATTACATTGGGTACAAAATACTGGAATTATTTCTTATGTTATAATTAATATACAAACAATATGGTATTGGACTAGTTTTTAGACAATGAAACTAAAATAAGAAACTTCCTTATTTTAGTTTCGCTGTTCCCTCAGCTGAAAAAATATATATCTGGAAAAACCAAGCCTTCCTTATTTGTTTTTTTTTCAAGTAAACTGACTGGTTATGATTCTATTGTTTCTTAATTAACAGCTCAATCGTGTTCTCAGTATCAATAATTATAGAAGAATTACAATATTATTGAGTACTAACCCTGATATCAACGATATCGCCGATTTTGTACACTTTCATGTAAGTGGACAGGGGGATGTTTCCATGAGTGCGGAACTTGCGGGCGAACAAGTCCCTAGTACCACGACGATAACCTTTTGAGTTCGTCATCTTAGTGCCTGAAAGAAAATAGAATCAGTTAACCCTCAGCTAGCATGTCAACCGCCACACGTGGATCAGATTGAAAAGAATCACGGGGAACACGATTTAGTTAAAAATAAAGTGATAATTAGTTAGGCATCTAAAATATTACGTATGTAACCAGATTTTTTGTTTCGATTACAACAGTTTTAAAGAAATTAGGATAAACCACCTTGTGTTACAAAGCTTGACGTACAAAGAAAAGAAAGAGGTTATTTTTATTTTTTTAAATCTAAAGTTATTTTTCTATAATATATGGGCAAAAGGATCTAACCTACACAACTTGTTAGTAATGTGAAGAGTAAAGACTTGGATCGATTGGGAGCGCTGGTGTCAATATGCTTAGGACGCTTGTGGACTACACTGAATTTTCAGGTCCGGCGGTCCGATTTGTCCGGTCCGGAATGACATGAAAAACCCGGATGAGTAGCTTGTGCACTTGTCCGTTTTTTTGTGGATCAGAGCGGTGCAGTTTAGAGTAAATTTCTTTGAAGCTACACGTCACTTACGCTAGGAACGATGAGTTTTTGGGAACTTCGGTAATTGCTTGCTTTATTACTCTACGTGCGAAGACGTAGAAGACAGAAAAAATACCCCTTTATACGTGAACGGTACCTAAATAATGATCTAACAGAGTCATTTTACATAAACCATAATAAATTGAGGCAGGACGAAAACATTTTTTTACTACTATCAGTTTTTCATAAATTTTCTTCGAAGTTTTGTAAAAACAACTTAAAGCGATTACAGACGTAGACCAATCGTTGATGCCGTTTCGTAAACAAAGCAAAATTAGTGGCGTGTAAGCGGAGAATCGATATGTTAAATGAACTTTACGGAGGCATTTAAATCGGCCATCTTTTTTTTACTAATTGTCATGATTTAACTATAATCATTGTAAGATCAGTTGGCTGCAATATATATATACTTACTAGCTTTTATTCTATACGCGTGGTATAGTTTCTTTGATCAGAATTCTTTTTCTTTTAGAATACTTATGTTATCAAATATTTATTTATACTTATCTTATCAATTGTCTAAAAACAAATATTGATAATGACAAATTTCCATGCAAATTTTCGTCCCCTATTTCTAGCTATTTTTCGTGATAAAATATAAGTTATCGATACTTTTAATACGAGGTGTGTGTGTGTGCGCACGCATGAGTGTTTGTGTGCATAAGCGTCTGTGAGGGAGGAGATGTACACGCGCGCGCACGTGTGAATATAAGTGAGTACCTATATCGTTGACTTACATTGTAAATGAATTTGTTATAACTAGCTTAATGAATCAATTTTTCTAAACCAAGACTAGTTTTTTACATTCGTGATAATCGAAATCTTTTAGCCATTTAAATATTTCTGCTTTAATGATTAAAGGGTTAGCCGTTTAGATTTTGACAGCCTTAATGAATTTATTATAAAGACGAAGACATTGGAAATCATAGTGGCGTTTGGCCAAAACAGTCTTAACTAATGGTAATTTAAATAAATTATTTCTTTTGTCTACATTAAAAGGAGGTGCTGTCTTGTGGTAGCGAGTTTAGACAGTTCAAGATGTAGGATTGGCGTATGCTTAAAACTTCTGTTTTATTGTATACATCAATCGTAGGGTGTCTATAAGGTAAGGAAAATGTAACCTTCAGTACTGCTCTCTGTGCACGTTTAACTTCAATAAGAAACGATTTGCAAGCACCTTCCCATGAACAGATGCAATAGTTGATTAAGCAATGACACAGGGCGTTGTATATTCATGTTTTAGAATGATTTTTTAGTTTTTGAACACAAATATAAAATGTCTCAGCCGGTTTGCTAAAGTAGTCCCCAAGATATTATGCAGTTTAAGGTTTCAATTTTTGAACAATTGCAATCAGTGTTTGAAATTTCGAGTGTATTACAAGGATGAGTATGTATGGTAATGGATGAGTAAAAATTCTTAGGTGGTGCAGATCGAGCTGTCTTGTAAAAACATACATATTTGGTTTTGGAACAATTGATAGTAAGTAAGCTGTTCTCTAGTCAATTAGAGACTTTAAATAATCCCGTTTGGACAAGATGTTGAACAGTATCCAAAATAATATGACAGTATCGTTAGCAAACATGAGCAGATCTGCATTAAAGTTAGGCATGTCGATCTGCGATTGATTAATCGAACATAGAGTAAAATAATCGATTTTATATCGATTTGAAATGCTACATTGATTCTTGAATCGATTCATGAACACCTCGAATGGGACCGATTCAAATCAATTCAAGAACGAGCAATATAATATTCCTAAATTGGATACGATGTTTTAGTTTTTTAATATTTTACTGTTGTTGGACGTATTGATAATTTGGACGCATAAAATAAATATTTAAGAACCCATTCGAATGTCATTATAGTATAGTTGTAACTGCTATCACTGTTACTCCAGCTCGTGGAATCACCCATACATCACCCATCTTTTATAACAAACTGCCTGAATGCTCTGTGTCTATATAAGGCATGTTTGATTGAAAAATTCGCGATTAATCGAAAATACAAATACGAAAAATTACAAATTGTTGTGGTAGGGCAACACTAATGAGAGCCCACGCATATTATATTGTCTGTTAGAGATTATCTATGGAACTATGGAGGCTGGCTTGGCTAGGTTGTACTTTGTGAGTAGTGTGTTTGTTACAATAATAATAAAAGCTAATTCCTTGAATGTCGAGTTAATCATTTCTACACAAATGTTCTTGATACATTCTTGATTTCTCCATGACAACCTTTCCGGTTTTCTTTCAAATTTAAAAGTATTTTAGTTTTCAAAACTCAATAAACAACTCATATTCTATTTGTACTTTTTCTTATTTGTATTGATATCTAAGTTTCGAACTTTTACGATTTCAGTTCTTTAATATGTTATTTAAAAGGAACGAAAATGACTGTCTTTAGTCTATTCGTTTCCTGCTAAAATCAACTTTTGCTAGAGTCGCCATCTAGCGGAGGTGCTTTTTTAGTGCTTTAGTTTTTTTTTTAAATTACTCTTTGAATTGGTCTGTGAGTTACGTACTCTTATACACAGATTATACTTGGATTATACAGTACAGTACCTTAGTACCTTCTTCCTGGTCTGTGGTACTCTTTGAACGCCGCAATTGAGTTTATTTATTTTTCAATGTGTTATACTTATTTGTATACATGTAGTGTAATGAAATTAAAACGTTAATGAACTGAGAAAATATGAATACATATCAAGATAACATAATAGTAAATTCTTGCCAATATACACCAGTTTATTTAGTGCAAGACACTGGCGCCATTCAGGTTGTTCAACAATGAAACAACTTCTTGCTTATCAAAAGAAACTAATGTGAAATTAAGCTAATAATATTACTTTTTTATTTTAATCTACAGGAACAATGTTATACAGTTGCCCAAAGTAATGCAGACGAGGCGAAACCATTAACTAATAACCTCAAGAGATTTTATGAAAATAGCGGCATATTTGAGAACAATCATGGAAACAATGCTCCGAATGTTTTAAAGCCACGAATACTCAAAAAACAACATAGCAAATCAACAGGGAATAACTTGAAAGTAGCTAATTTTTTTCTACCAAAAAGTACCGATGGTAATATACAAGAAAATAACAACCTGAATAAACAATATTTAACTTTAAACAACATTGTAATAAAACCAACCGTGACCCCTGCAAGTGTTAGTAATACTGTGCCGAAAGTGGAAGTTGACAGAAAAATTGTTAAACTTAAAAACTTTCCAAGTGCATTTAAACAATCACAAGAAAAAATATTACCAAAGATCAAACCAAAGGAACAGTAAGTATTTTCAAATAATTTATGTGCATTGACCAAATCCAAGTATGATGTAAGTAATATGTGTGTTTTCAGGCCACCTCTTGCGAATCCTATGAAACATACCTCTGTACAATTACTTAAGCTTGGTGAGACATATCACAGGTATATAGTATTTTTTATTTAATTATTTTGGTTTTGTTTATTTTGTATTTCAATTTCTATACTTATTTGAATTCTAGTCTCAACCAATTAAGCAATGAACAAATGAAAATGGTCAATCAAGCCTTGAAGATATTTGACAATCCTGAAAAAACAAAATCATTGGAACCAACATATGATCCTGTAACAAACACTCACTTTATTTATAAGTAAGAACATTGTTATTATACACACTGGAACGCGAACACATAGTAACTAACAAAACCAAAAGTGCTGTTTAGAGCAGAATAACTTTAATTTTTCACGAATATTACATTTATTACAAATATGATTGATATACCTCATTTGATTAATATGGCATAAGATTATTGACAAAATAAAAAATTGTGCTCTGAAGAACAATTTTGGGTTTTTGGGTTACTGTGTCTTTGCTTTCCAGCATCATTATAAAAATTATTGTAGTTCACTGTTTAAGATTAATCAATAATATTATTTTTTTTTTTACTCTATTTTCATGCAAATTATGCATAAGATGTAGGTTTCATGTCTCGCAGCTTATTCACTGTAAACAAACTAACAATGAAATTAGTTTATATAGAAAAAGAGTAGTGAGAAAGTGTGCCATATATGTGATACATTCATTATAATGTCTTCTTTATGATTAAGTTTTCCCTGAGTTAGTATGATTATAAAAATTGTATATTATAATATTTTTAAGTTAAAACATCTATGATGATAGACCTATCAGTCAGATAACACTTTATTCATTCTTATTTTAAGTAAATCCAATACATAATCATTGTTTGGAATTTTATCTTTTGCGTCCACTTTTCTGCATAATTCTTCAATTATCTCTTAACTGTTTACAGAGTTGTATCTCCAAAATCAATATCTGTTGTTGGCAAAAATAAAATCACCACTAGCAACAGAAAAGAGGGAAAGAAAGAATACAAAAAAGTCCAGGAACAAGAGATGTTAAAACCTGACCCAGTGGCAATGGGAGAGAAAATAAAAAAGGAAATTGAAGAAGACCCAGACCCACCTATTGAAGTAAAAAAAATATTAATATACCTTATTTGACAGTACTTAGTGCTAAGCTCAATCAGTAGGGTCAAGTGTTGTACCATTGGACAGATTTACCTATGGACACCTTCGATAACTTGAAAATTAAATACCAAAAATTCTTAACTAAAACAGATCTTAAAAGTATTTTTGAATCCTGATGAGTTACTATTTCTTGATCTCAAATGTTTTTATCAGTGCTCCATTCAAAACATTAGTTTATTAAAGTCAATAGTTTTGTTTAATTTAAATATATATAAACATACGAGCACAACCTTATATGAATTACAGAATGTGTTATGTTGTTTTTGGTTTGGTATTAAGTCTCCAAAGCAATGCATGATTTTTTTTAAGGAAGAGGGAAGTTAATACCTATGGGCAGAATAATATCATACCTCTAGACTGTCCATACTCTGAATTTAATACTATATGATAATAATTAAATAATTTTGTTTTCAAGTACTTTATGTAAAACTGGGGTGAATTGCAATAAAATATGTTCAGAGGCTCTTAGCAGCAGCTCAGAGGTAGCAGTCAAATAAGTCAAAAGTAGTTTCAATTTGTAAAACTGTTGATAAATATGAAATATCAAAGTCTATTTTCAAATATTATCAAATAAAAACAATGATGATAATAACACAGACCTTAGAGCTTTTAGGAAGTATGTGAAGAGAGTATATGAAGAGATTCAATTCTGTGAAAGCTTAGAAGAAGCTCCACCTATGCATTTATGGGCTTAGATTTGATTACTAATTTTATTATCTCTTAACTAGTCTATAAAATTTATTTGATTTTACTAATGATTTATATGCTGAATATTTGTAATTTTCTTCTCTCAAAGCATTTATCTTAATATTTGCTTTATATTAAAGTTTTATGATATTAAAATAGTCTGTCCATAGGAACACTACTATCCAAAGGTACATTTGGTCTTGTCTACAAGTATATTCAATGTTTGTACTCGTGGACAAAATAAGACTTTTAAATATTTTATTTTCTCAAAAACTACCATATTTTTCCTGGCTAAGACTGCTTATTACAAAGAGTTATTTTGTAATTATGATGTATAGTATGATAATGTGCACTTAAAATAAAGGGGTTAGTGAAAATAACAATTTTATTCTAAATTCTGAAAAACTTCCACAGGTAACGTACATAACCCTACTTTAATATTTCTTTCGTTTTAGGTGAAGGTAACTAGAAGTGGTAGAAAAGTTAAATTTCCAAAACAAATGGTGCCTGAGAGAACTCTACACAAGCCTAAAAAGAAAACTGGTGCAATAGTATCATGCTTCCAATGCTTTACTGTAAGTAAAACGTAGTTAACTGATATTAATAACAACATAACTAATCTTTTTAAGTTGGGTCATAGAAAACCGTTAATAACGTCACTTTAACTGGTACCATAAATAAAGTGGCCCTTGCACTTAGAGAGGCTTTTGATGGACTTCTTGTGAATTCACTCCACTAACGCATATTTATTGCTCATTGATGTAGTTTCGATGTGAAAGTGCACTTTCTCCCAAAAAAAAGTTCTATAAAAATTTAAGGGTAGGAAGTCGTTCCATAGGAGTTTAGTGTAACTATTTTTGCATAGTCGTCTTTCTTCAAGTTAAAGCTTGTATATATGAAACTTTAATTTTTGTTTAACAATTTGGTGGACTGACATCATTTTCACCCTCATTGGTGCTGTAATATTTCGAATAGAAGTCAGCGAATTTTGCAAAACTTCCAATTTTACAAATTCTGCGTTTTCAGGAGTAGTAACAAAGTCCAAGTCTAAGCTTTATTTCCGATTGATCCGGTTTCTCTAAAATTTTGTACCCACACTAGGGAATGCAATCTCGCGAGATTGCGAGAGATATGGCACTCGCCAGATTGCCAGATATGAATATCAATACCGCTTTATAATAAAGCAAGCCAAAAATTAAAATGAAACTTATTAATTGAGTTGATAATAAATCGAGATATTATTATCAGTTAAAGAAAACTGTCTCTACTCAAAGAAATATTAGAAGTTTAAGAATAATTAGCAAAATATCATTTTGTCCCTGGCACTCTGAGATGGGAATCGAATCCATGACCAGTAATAAACGTTTATTTATTTATTAGGTACACTGACAGATTACAATCATTACTATAGGTATTATACAGAGTATTATTAAGTTTTTATAAGTCTAGACGGCAATCCTTAACAAGTGTACACAACATGATAACGGAGTGTTAATATCACAAAAAAAAAAAACCTAACAAATCGAAAAATACAAAAGAAAAGAAAGAAAAACTAAAAAAAAATGGTAAATTTTGCATCTATAACTTTGGATACTATTTTTTATTATATTAAGAGAAACTTAGGTTAATTATGTCGAGATCGGTATTATTGAGAGTATATTCATTGTAAGTCCGGAACACTCTCACTACTGGGTTATAAATGAAGTATTATTTTTTAAATTGTGTTGCAAAAATATTAAAGATCTATATCTTATATTGATGCTACACGACGAGAGTAGACTCGGTGCATCGATAGCGGAGTGAAGTACTTTGTCACTTCTAATTAAGCTGGAATATAATGTTAGTGTGCTTGTTGGATTCCTTAAACCTTATTATGCCGCGTGACATTCAGAACGCGCAATAAGTCCGCGACGCCATTAAATAGAGCTTAGCAAAAGGTCAGTCCTACAACTAATTCTATTAGCTGAGCTCTATCTAACCTAAAAACGATATCTGTAGCTATATCGTATAGCCTTGAACCGCGCCAATAGAAATAAATGTTTGGAAGTTGATTTCGTATGGATTTGGACTTAACTAGTAAGGACATGTGATAAGAAGAGATGATTTACATATAACAAAAGGTTTGTGAGCAGGAAATGTAAGGAAAGGACGATGGATAGACTGTGTGTAAGATACACTTAAGAAAGGAGTGTATGTTGAGATGTCGCGTTAAAATTGTTTACTCAACAGTCTCGTTTCGTTAGAATGGCATTGAATCGGTTGGGGATATCGTAACTCACCACGCAGCTCATTGCTGTTTGATAGAATTAGCAACTACAGATGCAGAGATCAACGACTTACAATGCCTTCCGAATGACAGGAGCTCGAGATAATTAATTTTTGATCACCCATCCTTAGACCGACCCTTGCGTAGCTTAATTTTCGTATCACAGACCAACCGCGCTAACCACTACACCATCGAACTCTTATCCCACAAACTAAAAGCGCATTGAAAAATAAAGACGCTACTTTTGTAGAACGTTGGTTATACTCGTACAGATATACAGCTAGATTCATTTACTCCATCTTTTGCAAACGCTATGTTGTTAATCCCAGCTGCAGCTGTATTCGTTAACAGCCATCGATCCCCGCTGGATCCACGCGCACACTATTTCTTTTTACATTATTTTCTGGAAATAAATTCCTTACCACAAATAATTATTATTGGGAGTTAAAATATGAAAACACATCTAGAATTTTGGCTACTAAACATATATAAGCTACTAAACTAAGTTGTTGAACAAAGCATGGGAATGACTTCTCTTCAGTTTGCTATCAAGTCTATGTTCTATAGATAGTAGGAGCGTGGTCAATAGGTTTATATTAATCAAATAAATAAATTAGCACGAAAAAGATATGTGTAAGAAAACGTATAAACACATAAGATACAAGAGACAGACAGGCAGCAATAGCAATAAAATAATACTAAACATTGAAATTAAAATAATATATAAAAACACCAAAAGAAGTTAGCCTGTAGCATAACGTGGCCGAAAAGATAATTCAACAAAATACGTAGATCTTTAACTGTATGCATTCTATTCAATAGCCTATTTTGTATGATATGACTAAATAACCCTGACTATTTTTCGACTAAACGACATATGACAACATTTGTCAAGATTGAGACTCGTAGGATTTGATAAACACTAATCAGAAATTATGTTAAGATCGTTTTAAAGCATTTTACATCAGTGAAATTTTTTAAGTAATTTGCATATAAAGGACAGGATAAACGGTAGATCAAGTCGTTTATCAAAACTAAATAATAATGGTCCCGAATGAGAACCCTGAGAGACCCCAGAGGTGACAAGCATAGAAATTATTAATCAATCAATTATTAAGTGTTGATCTATTTCTCACAAGATCAGTGTTTATTAGGTGATATATAACGACTAATGTGATTATATATAAAAATTAATAATGTGATTAGATAGATAATCACATATCAAAGATTTAAACAGTTTTGCCAAACTCGAGAGTATACTTATAGAAAAGTAATTGTTACAACTTGATCTGATTCCCGACTTAAATAATGGTATAATGTGAGTTAATTTACAATCAGCCAGTTGCACAAACGTTCATTAAAATTTTTATTGGTTTAAAGTGACATTACCCATACAATTTTGACATTCATTAGAGCTTAAAGGAGTCATTAAATGTTAAGGGACATTTGTGCAACGGACTTAAAGTGCAGTAAATGTGCTAGTTTAATTGGACTTATTAAAGAGTTGAAAGAGGATATGAAAGTTCATGGGAGCATTCTTTAATAAATATTGTAGGTATACTATCAGGACAGCACTCTTTGAGTCGTTCAACTCTTTAATCTCGAAAGTATGTAAGGTATCATTGAGGTTAAGAGGCAAATCCAAAATGCCAGAAAGTTGAGACGAAGGCTTATCATAAAGTGAGCCAAAAAGCCAAGTGATCACAAACACCTAGAGAGACCATCAGATGTAGTTTGGTTATTAAATGTCATAGTATGTGAATTGGCTACCCCACCTCTTCTATCATTTACGTAGCGCCAAAACAACTTTGGATTATCTTTAGCCGAATCCTCAACTATGGATAAGAAAGATTTGTAACAATCCGCTACAGTAATCTTACATCTAATCCGAAGAAGAAAAAATGCATTGTAATCTCTGGGTAATCGTAATCTCGTCATCAAAAATTTTTATAGCGTCTGTGAAACTTTCTCCTTTCAATAATACAATGAATAAGTGCTTGATTGAAACAAAAAGGATATTTGCGTGACGCATTTTTAACTACTAGTGTTTTTTGATATTATGCGTTCCATCACAGAATAAAAAGTGTCAACGCAGTCATCAATATTGTCCAAGTTCAGCAGTCTGTCCCAGCAAACATCGGATAATTCCGATCTAATCTGATCATACTTGCATCTATTAAAAGTTGTAGTACTTATTGTAGTTATTCATCATAGACTTGACTATGTTACTGTAGTTAATATCTATGCAATAAGCGATATGGTAAGAGTCTACTCGGCACACAGGTCTAGCTACAAGAACTCCAATATCCGAATCCGACAAATTTGACATAACAAGTTCCAAGAAACTGCCCTTATTATTAGGAGTGGTGTTATATTCAGTAAAGTTACAAGTATTTATTGTTTCGGAGAGCAAAACAGCTTTACGATCACGTGGACGAGTCGGTAACATTATTTTGGAATTTACCGATATCTCCCAGGTAATAATTGTCGTGTTAGAATCTCCCAGTAAAATTAAGTGATTCTGCATCAAAGCGAATAATGAATGTGGCTACATTTAAGCTAAATACCGATTAATAGTCAAAATTTTTTGGAAATCTACAATTAAGGTTTTCCACTTTGAATATAATAGTTTTTATTTATAAAGATTTGCTTATGTGAATTTTGTTTACAGGAATTCTGCAGCTTATATCGATTACAAAAACATTATCAGTACAATCCCACACATATACCTGCTAAAATACATTCTAATCTTTTCCACTGTTTGCTTGCCATTGTCAAGAGTGGATCTGAAGAAGATAGAAGTAATATATTTATCCAACAGTTAGAGCTTCTAGTTGAAAAACTGAAATCACTACTGCCTTGTCTATTATTAAACGAAATTAACGGAAGTGAAAGCAAATCGTGCACAATAAATGACGAAATCGGAAGGTAAATCCTCTTGTTAGATTTGCAATCATAATGACCTGTATCAGTAGAAGTAGGATAAAATACCAACGATGCGAGGACTGGACATGGTGATAGAACAATGTATTATGTGAATCTTGAAATAAGGAAGATTCACGCGTAACACGCAGTACATTGATGTACTTATCGTAATTTTGCATCATCACGTTCTTGACGCGCTCGCTGGTGTAAAACAACTATGTATTACGCTTTTTACAATCAGCATGGAGTAGACAAAAAGCCGGTAATGTGAATTTACACTACGGATCAAAAATTGTGTCAGGCTGAATTTGGCCTTTTAAGAATACTTTTGATTTATTTTTCTTTATTGATGTCTAAATTTTTTACAGGTTATTGGGTCTGAATCCAGGAAAGTACAATTTAAATGTAGATGCTCTCACCTGTGTTAAAGACAATGATGGAAATTGCAAACACAATCCCTCCTATACTTCTAATCCCTCACAAATCAATCAGAATAATCCAGAATCAAAAATACCTGACCAAAATAGTTCTACCAAACAAAACAATATCACTAGTTTAAGTAATGATACAGAAGACTGCGCGAGAGTAAATGCAGTTGATAAATGGCCTACAACTCATAAGAGGCTTTGGAATAATAAACAAAAACAGAAGCAAAAAATAGACGCAAAAAAAATGAGACTGCTTTCAGAAAGCACCGAATCAATAATAGATATGGGAATAGAAGACTTAGTTAATTTTGAACATGATGAAGGTGCAATAAACGTGCAACCAAAATCGTTAACTTTATTAGACAATTTAGACGTAAGTAATGAAAACTCTATACAATCTAAATTTGATGAGAGTCAAAGTAATACTGATATATTAAGTGATTCTAATAAACCATACCTTACGAACGAAACTTACACACAATTTCATAGCACGCACTTTGACATAAGATCATCACCGATAAAGCCTTCAGCGGCTGTATTTCGTAGGTTTCAAATTAATCCTGAAAAACTTGCAAAATATGATGAAGATATAATTCGCCCCATAGAAAATAAACTAACTGAAATTACAGAAAAAAACACAATTCCTTGCGCCGATGAAACCTCCGATCTACAAAATATATTTAGAGATGATCTATCTATCCATCTTTCGCCATGCAAAGACACGGCCGGCGAGATATGTCCAGAATTAACGTTTGAAACAAGCAAAAATTGGATTGTTATTGACGATAATTATAAATCAAACGAAAATTTTAAAACAGATGGTTTAGTTGAACCTTCTTCATTACACGTTCAAGAAACAGTTACAGATAATTTATCAATAGGAAATCTTATGGATACAAATGAGCAATTAGGAGACAACGATAGTCGTCTATCAAGTCAAAGTTCTTCAGTACTGAACTTCTTGGAATCCTTGGGCAATGAATGCTTGTCTTATCCTGAGACTGAAATTAGAAATAATGTAACGGAGAACATTGACTTTCAGTTGGATTTATTTTCATTCAATAATGCATAGTAAAAAGAACTAATTATATGAAATAAGATAAAAAAAAAATATACAAAATTATGATACTAAATGATGAAGTATTTTTTATTTTGTTCAAAATATAAATCATTATTTTAAATCATTTTTTTTTTCTTTTCTTTGATTAACCACAAACGAACAGGGAAAGTCTAACAAAGAAACATAGTCCTCAACTCAGCACAGGTAACTGTTGTTAATTCTTTTGATCACAAAAAAAAATAAAAACATTGTTTTTTTTTCTGCGTCGGTGCGTCGGTCGAAACGCGGTACTCGGGGTAATTTTGGCATGTATATTTAACAATATTTGGCTATCTACGGTCCTGAAATCTAACCTCCGTGGCCCTCCCGTTGCCGACCCTTACATGAGTAGCATATGGTCACCGATACTGTTATCAGTCATATTTGGATGTAGACAAAAATTTCTCGAGAACGCTTTAAAGCGTTTCTCGAGTTTGCCATAATTCGCATGCTGGTCTTTATTCACCATACATTTACTAGTTTAATGAGATTTGATAAAGCTATCATAATTTTTAACGGCGTATACATATTCTCTGGTCACAGAGTAGTGGAGCCAAAACACGAACGCCCCCGATAAAAGTAGAATAAAGAAGGCTTAAAAAATAAAAATTAGTTCTTGAAAACATCTAGATGTCACTAGCGATGTTTGGATCTTGTCTATGATATTCATTCAAATTTTGTTTCTGACGTAATAAAAGTAAATTGAGTATCGAAAATTAACAAATATGACATCGTTTCGTGTTTTTTATAATATCTGATTTTCTAATTAATTTTATTTATTATGTTACGTGTGAAGTAACGATGTTTGGTTTATATCAACATTAGTGATGAGTCAACTTATTGGTTCGTAACTTCAATTCACTCGATTCATCCGAGTTCTGGTTTGGAATTAAGAACAAAAAGCGGAGCGCTGAATTCAGCTTGTTTTTTTATGTGCCATATTTCCATATGTGTCATTATCATTATGCATCCACATGTCGAATTATTTTAATATAGATATCGAAATCACTTATAGGCTTGTTACATAGCACTTATGAATGTCGAAAGCTATACCAACGGTTCGCAAAATTAAGGCGGGAGATCTTTTACTCAGAAGAAACGGCAAGAAATTCAGTAAGGGCTGCTTTTTTCTCCCTGTATTATTCATACAGAGAAGTCTTATTGGAATGTGACTTAATTATAGACTACAGGCCCATGTTAAAAAGTTATGGGTCATTTGAACCACCAGGTGACCTGTCTAGAACGATATAAGAGCATTAAAAAATAAGATTCAGTACTATGCCGTTACTTGTAAGCTGTCCAACTGAGTGCAGGTGAGAATTCGAAAGTACAGGTAGAGTGAGTACATTTTGGTCACATATTTTTGTACGGCATTTTTACCACCGATAGATCCATTAAAAATAATAAGAAAACGCGTAAAAAAATGGTGCGTCACAAAGTCGGATTTTTTCAATACTGCTTCTAATCCATTATTCCGCAACGCCGTACAAAAATCATGCGATAAGGGGAAAAAATCGACGGTTGCAACCCCCTCTCTTTCCGTAGTCCAGGGGGTGATTTGACACAACATAAAAAAAATTATTTTGAAAGTATTTTATGGATAGATAATTTTTTTCATGTGCCGTACATTTTCGTTGGTTCAAAGGGGAAAAACTGAAAAAGAAAAAATCCATATAACGAAATGTAAGGTGAATTTAATTTATATTATGAAAAAAAAATTATACGGCATTTAGATAGATTATTTGTACTAATTTCCCAACTAGCAAAAATATGTCGTATAGTAATCTCGGCAACGAAAATTATTCAGCATTTTGGCTCCTAATAGAAGTCGTATAAACGTAATGAAAACGTTTATACAACGCGATTTGGGCCCATTTTATTCAGCAATTCAGTCACATAGACATCGTATAAAGGTAACTTATTCAGGTAAATCATCACGTAATTATCGCCGGAGTGACTGTTACAAGCTTATGTTGCGCTATAACTGTAACTTATATGACTTTTATATGACATGTTTGTCTTATTGAAGCGACCTGGGATACAAAACAGCTGAAAACATTTATAGTAAATAAAATAAGCAAGTGCTTCGACGTGTTGTGTTTTAAAAATTATAATTCATCGGTAAGTACAATTTATTTAGCAGACATGTTAATTTGTAGGTTCGTAAACTCACGCATAGGGTTGTAAAGTATTGCGAAGGTAAGTTTTCTGAGGAAATATACTAGGTTATATCATAAATATTTAACAACCCCCTTTAATTCTTAGTAATATGAATATAATAACGAATATTTTTATATCAATATTATTTTTGTACACCATTTTTACTGCTGACAGGCGGTATAATAGCTTCTTATACAGCAAATTAGCAGTATGAGCGCCATGATACCACTCTGATTATAGTTTAGGGTTCCTTAGAACTTCCTAAAAAGTTTTCTAAAAGAGACTTTTTGTTTGTTTTTCCATTTATTCCAGTCCATTTTCGATAACTGTAAACTACTCACAACATTTTACATAAAACAATCTGATCGGTGTAATGGAAACAATTATACGACATTTTAGGCTTGTAATAGTCGTATAAATGCGACGTATACTACATAATAGTAGTATAAAAGCAACAATGTTGCTTTTACTCGACTGAGTCAACCTTGCCATAAGAAAGCTATATAATATGCTTTTACTCGACGAAATAGTAACATAAGCGTCGTATACTAGCGACTTATTCGGCAAAATATTATATGACACTTAAGTCATATAAGGATGCTGACTAAACGTTTACTCAGCATCATTATGTGACCGAAATGCTGAATAACTCAAAAGCTATATAAGATGCTTTTATACGATACGTGCTGAATAATTCACACTTACTCGACTTTTATAACACCGAAAAGCTGAATAAACTTTACCTTATATGACTAATTTGCTAGTTGGGTTAAATGTGCATTCTAAACTACTGTGCGACGTTTAGCATTTGTAGTATTTTATTCGGATGTTAATTCGATTCGGATGGATTCGGACTCTGCTTGGACCCGAGTAAGGTGTTTGCGTACACTCACACATAGTTCGATTCACAGAACGCAGAAAGACGTTAGAAGGGCCTTGTGGGCGTGGCAGTGTAGCCACGATCCTAGACAAATGTACAGGATCGTGACTTCACCACGCGATCGCGATGTTTAGTCATTCACGAACGCGCGCGCTGTAAGTACTGTGAAACACGCCACTAAAAGTGTTAAAAATGCTGACTTTCGCAGTTATTAATGGCAAAACAAGAAGCCCATCCTCAAGTAGGTCCAAAGGAAGGATTTCTTTCTATTATTAAGTAGAACACTTCTCAAATTTAGTATTTTTAGTCGAAAATCGTGAAATGTTATCAAAAGTGTGAATCACAAATAATATTTCCAAGAAAATATACATTGCTGGAGAAGTGCGCATATTTATTACATTGCGTCGAACTAAGCACGTAATGTAATGAATATCGTGAAATTACCGTTTTAAATAGCAACATAGCTGATTACGGTAGATGGGTAGTGAAGTGCCTGGAAACATTTAATCGATTCTTGGTATGTTAGGTAGTAAAAACTAAATAAAAGTATGGACAATAAAATAGTGGTAATAAAAAATAAATCTAATCAGAGATTAACCATATTGACTTCGTTTGGAATGCGTTTGTATATTAATTTAATAATGAGTGTGGTAATAAGTCTGTTTTTATATTCTTAATATTGTAACAGAAAACTAGTTTTTTTTATTATTTTGGACCATTAACAACAATGCTTTTTAAATCATCGAATTTGTACGTAAGACTTTGATTTTGACAAAGACATATTTATGTTTCAGAAAATAGAGAAGATAATTCGGACGTCGATGAAGACGTTGATTCCGATAACAACTCAGCAACTGATTCCGATACTGAATAATTGAAAGAAAAACCATATTTTTTATTATCATCATTAAATATATCGATTTCTTCTAAAAAATGATTGTTTTATTTATTCAAATCATTACAATGAAACAAATCAATTATATGTATGTATCAATAATGTTTAAAGTATATATTAAACCAAAAAGTATATAAAACTGTTGATACTGGGATTGACAGTTTCAATTCTTGGACATAATATACACACCGTTTCAGTTCAGTTAGACGTCATAGTGATTTTATCATATTAACAATTGTTCTCTTCAAAAATATGTTAATGCCGTACTGTATCAGATGGCCATAAAGTACCCTTAAAATTGTAGCGTCACTTTCATCAGCCTAAAACATATGGTCTGCATAAAAATGTACGGCATCATTTTTTCCTAATTTATCTATGTTAATACTATTTAAAACAAGGGATAAAATGTAGAAAACTGCTATATTTCATTAATCTATGATATTTAAACTTTTACAATAATTTGCAAAATTTCAGTTTTTGCATTTCTCTATAATTTTTTTTAAAACGGTTTCTTTTGAACGGCAATACTATATAACAATTGTATTTTACAATATTATGTTAAAAAAAAAGTTCCCGCACAGGATCAAATGACTTTACAGCTTTATAAATCTAGGATACGATGAAATTAAGATGATTAGTGATATACATTCAAAGGAACAATAATTTTTTGACGGCATTACTTTTAATGGTACTTTTGAGTGCTAGATAATGTTTTGGAACCGAAGCCGTACTTTTTCAAATCACCCCCTGGACTACGGAAAGAGAGGGGGTTGCAACCGTCGATTTTTTCCCCTTATCGCATGATTTTTGTACGGCGTTGCGGAATAATGGATTAGAAGCAGTATTGAAATATGATGACACAGATGCCGTACAAAATCAAATAACCAAATTTACCGCGGTAATTGTCGGAAAATAAAAAAAAAACCGACTTTGTGGCGCACCATTTTTTTACGGCACTGCGCGTTTTCTTATTATTTTTAATGGATCTATCGGTGGTAAAAATGCCGTACAAAAATATGTGACCGAAATTTACTCACTCTACCTGTACTTTCGAATTC